AAAAAAAGACAAAACAAAAAAGGCACAGGAGACAGGAGGGAGCCAGGTGCTGCCGTTTCATTGAGTAGCAGGTGGCTTCAGATGTTATACATTACCTGACAATGACTCCAGGACGGAGATCAAAGTTCTTCTTCACAATGTCAAGCAGCTCCCTCTCACTCTTGTTTGAGGTCCCATAGTGGAAGATAGAAATGGAGAGGGGATGGGCAACTCCAATGGCATAGGACACCTAATACAGCACACATACATGTATTATATCAAGCACAACAAACACAGAAAACTTCAGGCAGGAAACTCTTGCAGCCCCTCTCTCTAAAATTAAGACAGGTCGGTTTTGACACTAACACACACCTGGACCAACACTCTCCTGCAGAGCTCAGCCTTCACCAGAGACTTGGCCACCCAGCGTGCAGCGTAAGCAGCTGAGCGGTCCACCTTTGTGTAATCCTTCCCTGAAAAGGCTCCGCCACCATGGGCTCCCCAGCCTCCATAAGTGTCAACAATGATTTTACGTCCAGTGAGGCCAGCATCACCCTGTAAATGAGGATCAGAGGTTACAAAAAGGTAGGGTGCACATCACAGGCTAAATAGTTTCTGAAAGCCACACCCTTTGACATTTACCTGTGGGCCCCCAATGACAAACCGCCCGCTGGGCTGCAGGTGGTAGACGGTGTCATCATCCAAATAGATGCAGGGAACAACAGCCTTGATGACTTTCTCCTTTAGAGCATCTCTCATCTCCTCCAGGCAGATATCCTCGTCGTGCTGAACAGAGATGACGATTGTGTGCACACGCACAGGGAGCATGGCGCCACGGTCCTGGCGGTATTGGACAGTAACCTGCAAAGAGGGTGAAAATATAAATGAGCTAAATCACACCTACAAAAAGAGAATTTATCATAGTTGATAGCAAGTGTGTCCAATCTACCTGTGTCTTTGAGTCTGGCCGGAGCCATGGGAGAGTGCCATTGCGTCGCAGTTCAGCCATCTTAGCATTCAGCTTATGGGCAAGGACAATTGTGAGAGGCATACACTCCACTGTCTCATCAGTGGCATACCCAAACATCAAGCCCTGCAGAACAAGAGACATTCACTCAATGTTTAAGAACCTCAAGCCTCATTTGAGAACAATAATGCAGCAATTAGCAACTTCAGAAAAAACAAATGACAGACCAAAATGATTATAGCCCCTACTAACCTGGTCCCCAGCTCCAATGTCCTCCTCATTGCGGTCGATGTGAACACCCTGAGCGATGTCAGGAGATTGCTGCTCCAAGGCCACAAGAACATTGCAGGTCTTATAGTCAAATCCTATGCAGGCAACAGACAAGCAGCAGATCAAGACACCATTCATAAAAAAAATAAATAAAATGAAAGCCTTGGACATCACATGAACACATAAGCCAGAAATACTACATGTCATACCTTTGGAGGAGTCATCATATCCAATTTGACGGATGGTGTCACGAACAACTTTCTGGTAGTCCACTGTGGCACGTGATGTCACTTCACCTGCCAAGAGGATCATCCCAGTCTTGGCAACAGTCTCTGGAAGAGGAAAGAAATATGCACTAAGATAAGCAAGAGATTTTCCCTTTGGCAAGGTAAACATTTAACTTCAGCCAAATGAAAACACAGAAAATTCTTACCACATGCAACTTTGGCATCAGGGTCCTGCTTGAGGTGGGCGTCAAGAACTGCATCACTGATCTGATCACAGATCTTGTCTGAAAAAATGAGAACAAAAACAACAAATACCGGTATCAATAGACTGCAGAAAAACTAGATCACTGGGTCTGGACGTAAACTGTGGCACGTTAGAGCTACGGGGAAGGCTCGCGCTCAGTGGGAGTGGCTCCAGCCCATACACAGCCGCCATTTCAGCATCTGCACGTGTGGTTGGAAAGAAGGGAGCGCGCCCAATAAACCGGGGACCGGAAGGCAAAAGTGATGCACTTTAACACTGATTGATCTATACCTTAGAATGATGTAATTCAACTGTAATATGTCGTATTGTTCAAGCCCGCAAATAACACTACTCGTCATTGTGCTCCACGTACCTCGGGGATAGCCCCGGACATTCAGGAAAACGTCAGCCAGATCTACATATAATAGTATTATAACGAGCTGAGTATTCAAGTGACGCTTACGGTAAATGTCTGATACCAAGCCGGCGCTGTGTTTATTGTCAGTGGACCACACACGCGGCAGCATCACCGTTGATTAGCTAGCTAACATTAGCAAGTAGCGCATGCTCTTGAAACCGGCCCGGCTATATTCATATAGCGGAAAAGGCCGTAACGTTCAAATATGAATGATGTTGTGGGCAGTTGTTCTTATTACAATTAAATTATACAGTACGAGGTGATGAAAACAGTTGTAAGTTTTGCTCACTCCATCTAGACAAATTGATGTAAGGCCGGCGTGCCGGGTCTTACCGGGGTGTCCTTCTCCGACCGACTCTGAGGTGAACAAGAAGCAGTCCTCGTCAATGAGGGAGTTATGAAAGCCGTTCATCTGTCCGTTCATCATTGTTAAAGGTGGCTTCTGGGGTGAAATTTAAACAAGAAGTGTTACAACGCTGATACCAGACTGACTCTGCAATTCTTAATTCTAGCAGTGCCTCGGCGTTTTCCTTCCTCTCCCAAAGGACGGTCCAAGCTTCTCGGTGTATTGATCCTGGAGCCTGAGCCTCATGGCGCAGAGCTCCACTATTTATTCTATGAAGTCAGACGCTCTGACGTCACGAAGAGGTGGACCGTACCATCCAGCCTATCGAGGGGGTTGTAGCATACTGTAACCAGGAGGATTGTTGCAGTATGGTACTCAGGCAGAGGCCATGTGATGTCAAAATGTTGCAGCGACTTGACAGCGTGGTTGGTCAATCTGCAGGGAGGGAGTGTGTCAGTGTTAGACAACGTGTGATGAATGGCAATATAATAAATGAATGAAGTTGATGTTTGCACTGTGTAGTGATTTCACATCTGCTGCCCAAGTACCAGTCTCAATCATAAGGTTGTTATAGCTGACTCTAAACTAGCTGATTTTGGATCATAATCTACCTAGGCACCATACACTCACACACATCCTGTATTTCTTCATTCTCTGTCTTGACAGCTCCATTGCTGCATGCTCTACCTCAACCATTGCCCAAACACAAATTTAATCATTCACTGTCACCCTTGCAGCTGAAAGTAGAGCAGTTTAAAAGTAACGTTTTATTGGACAGTGAATAAAGACTTTGTCTCTTTTGTAAATTTACACTCCGGAGGTTGTCATTTATATATCACGCTAATATCTTAGCGTGTGATTTTTTTTTTTTTTTTTGTAATCATGGGCCTATGTGCATCAGACAACAAATAAATGTTTCCATGAAACCATTATTAGAGCCTGGTATAAACCAACACCAGTATGATTAATCTGATAAGTTGTATTCATTTTAGCTATCATTAGAACATCAGAACATATGCTTCCCTGGTGAAACAACCAGATAAACCTGGTAATACATTTGGAACAACATGAAATCTGGACAATGGAGAAGGGCAGAGACTGGGGATATTATATCTCAATGTAACTTGATTATACTTTACTCAAAAAGCTCCGATCTTCCTCTTTTGCTTCAGGCCCTTCTGTGTAATATAATCAGAGGCTTTGATTGTGAACATGTTGTACCTTTGTAGGCTGCAGATGGGTTTGATTAATGTCTCTGGAAGGGCTGGTTTAAGCTCCAAATCAGGTCCATTTTATTTATCTTAGGAGACAAAATGTCTGAAAGTAAGAAGTTTATTTCTGACAGAATTTCTAGTTTCAGTTTGGGAACTCTTCACTCTTTTTTGGCTGCTAGACTGATGTAGCTGTTCAAACTCTGTGCTTAAAAAGTTTGTAACTCCACCAAGGCAGCTCATAAATGTTTTTTCTCCTTGTCATTGTTAATATCTGATGTCCAGTGTCTATTAATCATTCTATCATCAACATTTCTCTAAACATGGCTTGTCATGGTGACACAGTATTAATGAAGGTGTTGAGCACACAGACACAGTAGTGTTTCAATCTAAGCCCAGAGTTACATCATGAAGCAGTGAGCTGATATTCAGTCCAACCTATGGGGAAGATATAACATGTTCACCGTGCTCTAACTGAAGCCAATAGTCAATCACTGTGAAAGTTAGATAACTAACAATGGCTGTTGGGTAATTTCTATTATCAAACTTAATATCATCCACACACACACACACACATACACACAAAGTGGCTCAGCTCACAGGTGGCCATACATTAAAGGTCAAAAATCAAAGGTTGCCTTCAGCATGCACACATACTGTTTGTGGTGGAGCAAAATGTGAGCCTTCATTTTTGCAATTTTGATGGAAAGAAGCTAAAAATAAACAGGGCTCTTCACACTGCAGCATTATTTGTAACGTCATCATGCATCATTTTAGTCAATTAATTTGCCAGTTTTTATTATTACTTGGGCTTATGATGTTTAGTGTCAGCAAACCAAGCAACTCAATCCCTGACCAGTGTTGCATCAGAATGGTACAGTCAGCATGAATTTGCGTGGTGGACACTTTCTTTTCAGAGGGCAAAAGCATGATGCAAGATGCACCTGCTATTGCCTTCTACAGGATGTGTTGTTGTGTTTGTCACCCACATTCATTCAGAAAGTCTAAAAATAGCAATCGACTTTCACTGTAAACAATAGAAAACCACAGTAAGCTGACTGTTTATCCCAAGATAAATGACAGACTGGAGGGCACTTCTTTTTCTGGTAATCATTAAAAAGAATACAGTTTAAGATAAGTACTGTTGTTGCACCAATTACCTTTATAGTGACTGGCTGAGGAAAATATTACCTGCATTTCTTTGTGCAAAGGTTAAACAGCTCTGACGGCACTGTCTCAAGGAAATACGTTTCCATCTAAGGCCATCACCTTTATTTGATTTGCAAACACACATTATATGCTCAGTCACTGTTTATGTTCCTTTATCTATCTTTTATTCTCTCTATCACACACAGTAACGCTTTATAGATCATGTTTTTCACTTAACTGAACACTATTAAGCCGACCAGTACCACAAGAAAAAATAGATTATAGTGCAATTAAACATTTTTTAAACAATGACAATACTGTGTATGAGGAGACTCAAGAAAGACAGACCACAATTTGAAGGGGAGTATATTTCTCTGTGTTGCACTAGTTTGAGGATTGGGGAACAAAGCAAGCAACCTTTAAAAAAAAAAAACCTTCTCACCTCACCAATCAGATGATTTCACAGAGATAAACCATCCTCATATGCCAACAATTAATATCGTATCTCGCTTGCCGTAGTTTATGTCAATTTCATTCACAGTTATACAAACACCTGTAGACTAAACAATCTACACTTCAGACAGTAAGAGCAATATTTGATCTGAATTTACTAAACTGGAAAGTGGAGAAATCAGATTCTCTCTTCATAGTTCCAAATACAAAAAGAAAATAATTATCAATATTTTGTAATATCATTTTGACATTTCCATTGAAATAATGCTCCCTCACTGGCCAGCAGAATTCAGGCTCATTTAACATTTAAATAAGAAAATAAATACATAATTTAAGTAAAATAATCTTTATGGCATAGATTGTCTCCTATTTTATATTTTCTACCATACTTCATATTTATCCTTTACATACATATTCCTCTATTTTAGCCACATAATTACAAAACAATAACATTCTGTAGACAGAGCTTTTTTTCATAAACATTTCACAATAGATAATCACTGGTCAGGACTGCAGCACTGATCATACTTATCTAAATTACCTAAAGCAGGACAAGGTTCATACAATCTTAATTTTTTTTAAACATGTTATTCTAAACAAAGGTCCAGTAGATTTTTCATTTAAAAATTAAGAAAATACATGAATGCACCATGAAATGATTCAGACAATTTCAGATTTATGCAAGCATAACTATCCTGCATTTTCTTCACCTAACATTTATACTGCAGTTAAATTTTTATTCTGTCCATCTTACCATATTTGTCTAACAATTTTCACGGCCACAATTATGACAAAGAGGAGTCAAAAACAGCACTTTACAGCACAAAAATCACAGTACCGGAATGTACAGTATGTCCAGCAGCAAACCATGCAAACACAGTCGAACCCCATTCACTGCCACAGCTTGCTACACACACGCGCACACACTTCCAGAATCCAAAACACACACTTCCATAAAAGCACATACACACAAAACTGATAACAGACATACACACTGAGGTTACAGCCACAACAGTATACACTGTTCTATGCTAACAGCCCAAAAGTATGTCTAAGTGTCTAAGATGGTGCATCAGAGGTCACACGGTTAACAATGCAACGCAACTATTGTGACCATTGTCACTGTCAGCTAATCACCAGGATCTGTGCAGGAGGATCTGAGCAAGAGAGAACAAAAACACAAACAGTGAACTGAAAAGTCAAAATCATACAAAAAGTAAAGTAAAGGACCATTTCATGTACAATAGTGGAACATGTCAGCTTTGTATTATACTACTTACAGTATAATACAAAGGCCTGTAGTAGCTCTACATAGCAGAGTTCATGCCCACATTTTGTTGGAGATATCCATATTGAAAAACAAGTCTTGCTTCTATGTTGAAAACATGCACAAAAAAAAAGTTGAAATTTGAATGCAAATTAAAAGTGGGATCGAAACAAGTGTGTGGTTTCTGTGTTCTGGGTTAATTAGTTTAAAAAGTAAGTTAGCCTCTTCGCTGATTTGAACAGTAAGTGTTACATAAGGCCCAATAATTCATAAAGGTCTGTGTGTAAAAGCTACACACGTTGGTTCACATATTGCTCTAGTTACCACTGTAGCTGATGCGGCGGAGTTAATGGCCGACAATAAATCAAATGGTTCTGGCGAGACAGCTATGCTGTGTCAGCTGACAGTGAACCTCCCATGCCCATCACATCCCACTGCACTGATTTGGCGGTCTATTTAAAGGCCTTTACGCTCACATTTGCTCTCTACACTGACATGTGCTGTGCTGCTGCCTGAACCCCAGTCTCCACCTATGTTGGCTCTGCTCTGTTGTTATACACCCTGGAGGGACTTCATTCCCTCCAATGTTTCCTGCAAGTTATATCATGTTGAATTTCCAAAGCAGGGAACGTACACAAGAGCAGAGCCATACCACAGATTCAAACTGCACGGTTATGTCTGTTTGAAGATTTACAGAAACTAATAATGTGAGTGATTGTTGACAGAGCTGGTGATGCTTTCATAGGATGTTTTGGAACAAAAATAAATTTCATTATGTCTTTATTGTCCTTTTCTGTCTGAGCGGATTTGATTCATAAAAGACACATGTTCCACAACTAAAGGAAACTGAATGATTTGTGAGCAATGTCTGTGTCAAGAATGTCATACGCCATGTCTCAAAAGCGTGTTCCTTCATTTGCATGCAGTCGGCTGACATAACTGCTGGCTAAGTGCAGAATTTCAAACCAATGTTGGAATATCGGGAAGATGGTTTCTAAAAAGTATTACATAACCACTCTTTGACTCTACATGACCATAAATCCTTGAGTATTTCCTAATGCAAGGTGACAGCTCCCTGTACTGTCCACACCTGAGAACGGACAAAGATAGAAGAAACACAGGACAGAGTGAAAGGTTTACAAATAAAAAATATACAATGTGCACAGCTTAATAAAACAACTCAAGGCAAAGTGAGCCTCCTGGACAAGCCAGATGGCTGTTCCTGAAAAGGATGGCATCAGAAACTGTACATTTTAATTTCAGAAAACATACAGTGTAGTGGATGTATCAAATAAAAGACACAACAGTTGGCTATGTGACCTGTGACAACAGCAGGACTTGGTGGTGCATCACACTCCTGAATGCTCTGTGTTTTTGTCTTTCACCCCAGGAGCAGACGCCAGGTTGCTGCTGCCCTCTGCTGGGCGTCCTGTGGACTCGCTCCCAGCTGCTGTGGAGGTGCTGGATGGAGAATCATCAGTGACGTTGAGCTGTTTCACTTTGGCCTGTGCAGGACTGCCAGAGCGGCTGCGACTAGGGCTGTGGGTGCGGGTGCGGGTGTGGGTGTGGCTGCCGCTGCGATGCTTGCGGTGCTTGCCCTTACGTGGACTGGGACTGCGGGACCTCGTCTTCATGAGGACAACAGTGCTGTCATCTTCTGAGCTAAATTCAGAGCTGTCTGAAGAACTGATATCAAGGCCTGAAGTGGGAAGCTGGATCTGAGGATAGACAATAAAGAGGATAAGAGTGGGAAGGAGGGGATAGAATATAGAGAAAGAGCGGCAAAATGTCAGTGGCGGGAATGAAAAAAGTGTAAGGATGCAGATGGGAACATCAGAAGTAATAGCATACAACAGATGTACTGTCCCCCTCTGAGACACAATGCATTTGATTGTTTTAACCTCAAGAAAGCAGTGCCAGAGTTATGATTACCTGAAATGGCTCTGTTACACCCACAAGGGTGCTCATGTTGTTGCTATAGTAACCCAAGATAAAATCCCCTGAGCCTTTGGGCAATTCCTCCTCAGTAAATGTTACCTGGAAAACAGTTAGTGAGACATTTATTAAATGTGAAAGAAAATGATCTCTGAAGAGAATTCAGCACACATCCAGATTACCTGATGTTCCTGTCGATGAAAATCTGCTTCCTCTTGTTTGGCCCACACATATCCCACATAGTCCTTGTGGTGTTTGAAACCCACCTATGGAGGCAGCAGCAAAATCACAACCTCTAACTACTTGATTGAAAATTGTAATGCACAGAATTACTTTTTATACACATCATGGATTACCGACGGTAGAGGTTACCTTGTACAGTCCGATCCAGTCCCAGGAGCTGCGTGCGTAGTTGGGCGCCATTTTGAATTTTGCTATGGCATCAGCAATGCTGTTCCACTCATCCTCCACTATGAGTGTGACCAGGGGGATATCCACCTTGTACGGGAACTACAAAGACCATTTACCATAAACATTTACGCAGTGAAAAAATACTGTAAGTTTTCCAAAAATAATGAGGAGCTTGGTATCGAACTTCAGTACTTTTTGAATACCAAACCAAAATGTGTCCACAGCATTGATTATCAAAAGCTGTACTGGAGTACTGCATGTGATTGCATGGTCATATTCTTTGTTTTGTGAATGTATACTTTAGATGTTTCCTAAACTAAATCATAATTTTACTAAGTTTATATAGGGAAAGTTCTTGTACAGCTGTTCACGTTGGAGTACAGAAACAAAGAAATATATTATCACATTATCTTTACATTGTACCCTGTTGAGTCTCACCTGCAGTGTAAAGATGGAGGAGACCGGTTTGTGGTCGCTGACGGTGTATTCCATGTGACTTCGGTAGCAGTGCTGAGTCACTTTGGTCCCGCTGGTCAACCCTGAAATGGAGCCACGCTTCCCTGCACCGAGTACGGCGCCGGCAGGTGCGGTGGCTCTCAGGCGCCACAGAATCCGATCAGTCCAAGCTGGTTTACGCTTCTTTCCACTGGGATGTAGACAGAGAGATAGAGATGGAGGAAGAGAAAGAAATTCCCTAAATACTATTTCATTTAAAAGGAGAGGCACTTTCATGCGTCCCCAGGCAAGTGCAGACCTTTCAGAGAGGAGAGTAAAGTTTACTCTGAGCTAGGCACTGAGATAGAATTCATAACAGCACCCTCAGCAAGACCAACCTTGTGTCGTATGTATTTGTTCCAACATCAAACTTGTAGGTAGGAGAGAATTTCAGTGGTCCCTCTTGGAATCCCTCTAACACTGTCTCACTGTCTTTGGCCATGTTCAGCTGCAACAGTGACAAATAACAGACATCACTCACTGAAGATTTCTGTTTGGAAATTACATACAGCTCTTGCAAAAAGGTTTCTCTTTTGCCCCCTAGTGCACGCACCCACACAGTGCATGGTCCACCAGGTGAGAGAACACATTTTATCATGACTTTTTAAGCAAGTGAAATGACAAGTCACGAGCATTCTGACCTAAAGTTAAGATTTTAGAGTGAACAGCCTTTTGAAAAACAAGTCTGGATGACATTGACAGTGTCAGATGACAGTGTATACACCCACTATTGCTCCTCAAAAGAAATAAAACTCAATCAAAAATCAACCCAGTTGGCTGCTGTGAATACAGATGAGGTAAAGGACGAGTTGTTTCTAATGCTTTGCATGAAGACATGCAGAGGAGTTCAATTCATTTTCACAGTCTTTTTTTCATATATATATATATATATAAATAAATATATTGGACAAACTTTATTTTTTACCTGATCTTTTTCCCACAGCATGGGAAACTTGTTGTTATCAATGGCTGATTTCACCACTTGCATATCCAGGTCATCAATGCGGAAATTGAGATCCCCAAACCAGAACACCACACTGTCCAAAAAGGAGAAATTTCATGAATTCATCAATTCAAACAAGTGCAAGTACATCAGTACTTATTCAGGGCGATACCATGAATATGGAGAAAAGAAATCTGGGATTGTTTGTCACAGTTATATCAGACCGGAAAGGTTCCATCAGATTTTTTTTTACTGCTTATACTACAGATACAGTAGAGATATAATTGTAACTGTGTGTGTGGTGTGTGTGTGTGTGTGTGTGTGTGTGTGTGCTGACTTACTCATGGTCAAGAACCCCGGTGGCAGCCTGGCCCTCAAACTGCTGCTGCTGCAGGATGCTCTCAAAGTCCTCCATGCGCTGCTCTGAGTTTTCCATGTGAGCCGGCAGGTGGCAGTTGAGGAAGCAGATGGTGTGACCGAACACTGACATGCGGGCACTCACTCCACCTTTATTCCCCTGTAATATTTTGAAAGAGAGGAAGGCACACACTGCTGAGAAAAGGGGAAAAGGCATTTGTGTGAGTCTCTTCAACAATTTCCCCAAAAGCAAAATTGAATGAATGAATAAAATATAGTCAGTGATGGACAAGTGCTTAAAGACAGTGTGTCAGTTTTCCCCGTATTGAGCGGTGCCAGTGTCTCTGCTGCAGAGAGACAGGAAGTTTACTCATTAAGGACCATCGTCAATATTTAATGCTAACAGTGAAGTGCACAGTGGGGGGACAGGATGAGTCTGGATTTCCTCCCACTCTTCTCCCAACTGCTCTGACCCACTAAAACACAAAAGATGCTTCATTGCAAATTATGTAGAACAAGCGTGTGTGTGTGTGTGTGTGTGTGTGTGTGTTTGTGTCTGTGTGTTTGTGTGTGTGTGTGTGTGTGTGTGTGTGTGTGTGTGTGTGTGTGTGTGTGTCTGAGTATCTGATTTTCTACAGGGAACTACCTGTAGGAGATACTTGCTACTTTTTGACCTGTTTCAAAGAGAAGTGGTGCCTGTAAACAAAATTTTGATCCTATGAATACTCCTATGCTTGTTTCTTTTGTCCAATTTTCATAACAGTTAGAACACATGAGAAATGACTGATTATGAGAGTTCCTCCAGTCTGCAGTTTGCCCCTGGTTCATTTTTGTTATGCTTGACTTTCCAAGCATTAATAACCGCTGGCTGTGAGATACTAATGTCTATCTCTTTCTCATAAAACTAGACGGATGGCATTTGAATAGCAAGGCTTGATAATTTGGTTGGTATGCAGTTGCTCCAGTCACTCATACGTTAGGCCATTTGCATTAGATTACAAACATACAGTATGCTCAGCAGATAAAACACCTATAACATCCTCGTCAGGTCTGGATAAAGTAGAGAAGCGCTGTTTACAAACCAAGCACCACAAGTGTGAAGAAACTGTAGTGGCAAATTTGTGTCTCTCGGATCTCTGTTATGGAAGTCTCTGTAGGAGTGACTAGGCTTCATTACAGCCTGACACAGTGCTGATCACAGAATGGTGTCAGTGGCTGTCTCACCCAGTAACCCCCCAGGCCAGTGCGGGTAGTCTCAGTCTGGACTCCGCGGAGGAAGGGCAGATGGAAGTACTTGGCAAAGACCAACAGTAACAATCCTTGCATCCGCTGAGAGGTCACCTGAGGGACAACACAGGTGAGGACAAAGACAGTCAGACATCGAAGAACAAGATAGGACAACATGAATAGGTACACAGTGAGAGTTATGTGGAGGCGATTTACATAATCCTGAAAAGAGAACAGCTCTCGCACTGAAATTTCAATGTTCAAATTCTTTCAGTTGGGTCCGGCTTTGCTGTGCGTTCATTTCACTTTCTTGTTCTTTTCCCGTCCGCTTGCACTCTTCATCTTTCTACCGCTAACATTTTCATTTTGCCCTGTGGCCCAACTCTCCCGCTACTTTACATGAAGCTCTGCACATTAAAGAGGCCACAGCTTGTGGTCTGCCCTCACAGCGGAAACAAACCACTTTGTGGAGGAAACGTGACGTGTGCACTCGGACCTTTTTGCTTTCTTTCAAGCCCTCCACCATCATCTCAGCCACTCGCTTCTTGTTATGCTACATGATAATGTGCAGATTTTGACGATTTTGTGCCACTGGTATGAAAACACTGTAAGGAAATTTTTGTGCTGCATAAGAGAGGCAGGAATATGACGTGCATTTTGTTAAGTGGAAAAAGACAAGGTATTTGCATGCTATGCCAAACCCCTCACCAGATATTTATATTCATTCCTCCCTCTCCCTTTCTCCAGTTGTCCACACATCCCAACCCCCAACTACAGGCCGAAGAAGCACGATCACACCCTGCCTGAAATGCCCTGAGGTCAGTAATGGAGGCACACATCTCCACGTGACATAAGACCCTCTCGCTTGTATACTAACAGGGTATGTGAACGACGTTGTTGCGTAATAGTTTCCACTGAACCATAAAGTGGACTGACTTTATCTGTGGTACGTGTGCGGACATAGACAATGTGTGTGTCTGTGCGTGCACTTGTGTGAAGTCTGAGAGAATGTACCTTTGCCTGTGCGTACTGTGGTTGAAACGCATTTCTTATCAACCTCAGTGAACATTGGAAGAGCTCCTGAAGGCTGCCAAGATATATTTTAGGCTAGAAGAGAAAAGACTTTTAAGCTCAAGACAAGTGTGTTTGTGTGTGTGTGTGTGTGTGTGTGTGTGTGTGTGTGTGTGTGTGTGTGTGTGTGTGTGTGTGTGTGTGTTGTGTGTGTGAGAGAGAGAGAGAGCGAGAGATAGTGCATGTGTGCAGCGGTGTATGTTTGACCTTGTAGCTCACACGACTGAGGAAATGAGCTGTGGGTAACAAGTGTGATGTTTGCAAGGCAGCATGGGATTTTGGAAGAAGATAAGCGCAAAATAAATGCTGATTAATTCCAGTCTCTAATACTGACAACCACAGAAACATGAACTGCTACTTCAACATTTCATTACTCAGTATGTTTCCTAGATGTCATTTGCTGGATTTTTGAAGAAGCCTAATTGATTTATTGACATATGCACTTAACAAGTGTGTCTTAAATGAAATACTGCAATTCTGGTAATTCCTTCACCTGATATTAAATGACCTAACCTAAACATTAATCATGTTATAAAACTACTACATTTTACAGCCCAGCGGTATTTAAAATGCATGTTTAGCTGTGTCATAGTGAAATAAATCAGTCAAGTTGTACTACAATGCATTTAGTAGTGTGTGCAATGTTGCCATTAGAGATTAGGGCCCTGAAAAAAAACTGCCTTTGTTAATTTGTGCAGCTAAACTGTAGCTTACTCAAACACCAATAATGGTCACAATCAGCAACTGTTCAGCGAATAGCCAGAAAAAGTGTCTTGTTGGCTTTGTCTTTCTGCAGTGAAGGGCTGGTTTGAGAAAACTTTCTTGTGCTTGCAGCAGTTAAATTACCTGACGATCAGTCTGGGTGAGCAGAGTATCTCACAGCGGAAAGAATAGATGGGGTGTCGTTTTACTACGTGTCTGTCCACCATCTCTTGACTACTGACACCACCACATATTCTCCTTCTACCTAATAGCTTGAGACAACTCCAACTAACACATTCAACCAACCCGCTCACACCATTATGCACATGAAGCACACAAAAAGGTCACATTTGACAAGATGATTTTAACTAGAATTACCGCCTTGAGGTTGTATGCCTCCACCAAGCAGCCAAGTTGCGGGTAATATGGTCAGTCTCTCCTTCCTTAGTTACAGCATTGAATAAAGTGTTTTTACTGAACATTATGATGTCACAGTGAAGTTTACCATTGACCGTTTGTATAGAAAATGTCATCACTTCCTAGTTTTATCCTATTATACATTTGTGTTAAATTGTGTCATAATTAACGTATGAATGTGTGAGTTAAAAACGTGTTTCGTAGTGACCTTGACATATGACCTGTGACCACTTAATTCTAATCAGCTCAACCTTGAGTCCAAGGGAATGTTTGTGCCAGATGTAAGTTCCCTCAAGCATTCCTGATGCATCGCATTCAGAAGAACGAGATGTCACCATGACCTTGAACTTTGACCTTTGCCCACCAAAACCTTCAGTCAGTTCTTTTTGAGTCCAAGTGAATATTTGTGCCAAATCTGAAGAAATTCCCATTCAAGGCTGTCTTGAGATATCACATTCAAGAGGTCAGAAATGTGTTTTGTGAGGTAGCAGTACCACCAAAAACGAATCAGTTCTTCCTTGAGGTTAAGTGAATGTTCGTACCAAATATGAAGAAATTCCCTCAAGGCGTTAATGAGGTATTGCTTTCACAAGAACAGGGCGGACGAATGGATGGACGCACGGACAACCTGAAAACATAATGCCTCCGGCCCTGGCTGTTGTTGGCGCGGCGGCATAGCCAGGTTTCAACTAACGGGGCAAACGATGAGATAGCTGGAGGACAGCATCAGTCTCACTGTCAGAGGCCCATCAACACTGACAACAACATGATCCAAAAATAAAACAGCACCCTGGGAGACATTTGTCTAGCTCTCTCAGCTCGACAGCTGATTCACGCTCTCTGGCTCACCATGCCAACAGAGCCAAGCATCATTTCAGACGCAGCCAGACGAACACCAACCAGTTACAGTATGTGCCCTTACAAACATAAAAAATGGGAAGTACCAACACACCATACAGTTCTTTAGAAAAATAAACATTTCTGTATGGCATGCTTTTAATGTCATATTTGATATACAGTGTGGGACATAGATTACATCCCATTCAATTTGTGCATTACATGAAATCTATTGGATTTCTTAGTATCCTACCTCTCCACACCGGACATGTGTAGGCAATACGAAATAGAAAGATAGAGAAAAAGGGGTAGGTATGCAGGAATAAAGGCACACAGAGGGAGTCCAAGAGACAGTGTGAGCTTGACTTTGCATTATGAACTTGGCAGAAGATACTGTAGCAGATACGCTGACATTATACGCCTGTTATAAATTATCACTGCATCCGTTGCTCAGGGAACAAAATGAGCTGAAGCAGCAGCAGGAAGCAGAGATCTCATCAGTGTTCACGTAATGCGTATGAGTCTAAGTTGTTTAGCATTTTACTGTGAGTGTGCATATGTGTTTATAATAAAAGCCATTACTGACCAGCACATAACCAAAGGGGCTGAGTCTCTCCATGCAGACCTCGCTCCACTGGTCTGTGAAGAGGACATCTTTCAGCCTTTTGTTAATCATAGAGTTTACTTCCTGCAGCCTTGAAGAAAAATGACACACAACAAGGCACAGGGGTCAACAGCAGACAGAAATGTACGAGGGGCTGATGAGAGCAAGCTTGTAATGTAATGGTGGATTAATAAATGGAAGAGAACCGTTGCCATAAGGCGAGAGGGAGACATGCAAATCTGGGCCTGGCAGCTCATTATTGACATTGTCTGCAGCGTTGATGTGGGACAAGCGAACACAAACGGACACTTTGGCTTTTATGTGGAATAAACTGGATGACTCCTGCACCGCAGAACACTCACCCGATAATGTACATGTCTGTGTTTCCATCACCCACATTCAGCCCCAGCAAGGAGGTGATGTCATCAGGTGGCGTGGCCGAACCCACGTTCCAAGTGATGATGTGCACCCTGTTGGAAAAAGGTGTTACGTAATATCTCTTATAAACACTTATCGCCTAAACGCCTCAGTGTCACAACCTCCAGACAGCAGAACCCTTGTATTAATAACCCAATGTATCATAACTCTCCTGGTAACTATGACAGACACCTTTCAATGACTTTCTTACCACAAAATGTGACGTCTTGGCTGTGTGCTTGAAAGTAATGCAGGTAATGCAAGTAATGTTGTTTCAAGCAGCCACTGCTGACATTAGTTTGGTAAATTAAGTAGGGTCAATTAGAAAATCTAAATCATCCATATAAATGTGAACATAAGGGTGTCTAAGTGTGTACAGCCACCCACAATCCTGAAGAGGACAAATAATTAAACCTGTCTACTGTATATGCCACACACGTTTAAGAAACTTACATTTAATGCGTTATTTGCAGTGTCAGAAAAAACTACTGAAAATTTAACAAATGACACTTGTGAACACTTGAACACTCAGCTCTTTTCTCATTTACTGCCCAAACTAAGGCAATGGCACAGGATATGGTATACGGGACACTACCATCAAGTGCCCCACGTGTCTGAAACCTCTCCCTGTTGCAGCAGGGAGTGATCTTCCCACGGGGTCAGCCATTTTCTATGTTGGCCACGTCAGACTTGTTGCAGGGAACTTGAGCAATTTCCAAAAATGTTCTATAAAAAGTAGCGAGCTCACTACGCTCACTGATCACGAGGCAGTGTTATCGTTAAAACATCACTCGTCTGAACTTTCAACAGACCCTTCTCACTGCATCACAGCATGTAAAATACAGCTGCAGCTACTACAATTAGAGAAGCCTTATTTAGGTTTGGAAGTCTTCTTGTTCAGTAAATGACCTAAATCAGCCCTCAGACAATTTTATTTCCTGCGGCTGTGTTTTCTGTGCTTGGGCCCTGACTTTGAAAAGGGTTCTGTAAAAAACAAATCTACATGTCATTTTGATAAATAAACATTAAACTGGTTATATGTTGCTGAGAGACATCATTACAATATTCTGGCCTAGAATTGTGTCGAAGGTCACCGACTCATCAGTGTCTCAGTCTTCACTTATTCAGCAACATAAACAGCTCCAGTTTCAGTTAAATGTACAATGATTCACCAGGATTTGGTCAGAGACACACCCATAGAAAAGAGGGAGAAAAATACAAAAAAATACATATTAAGCTACAAAAGTAGTTCATAACACACTATAATGTAGTTGTAAACAACTGTAAGGGCTTTTAAAATTTCTGTTAAAGTACAGAGTTTATGAACAATTATAATGTCTCCTGAGACATATGATATTTCATATTATTCCAAATGTGTTTTACTATATTGTCATTTATTATCTGTTTCCACAGCAGCCCCCACTGATGGGTGTCCACAAGAAGAGTTATAACAAATCCACTAATAAACACTTGTGTCTGCTACATTATGGTCTGTTATGAACCATTTATTACATGTCTGCATACTGCGTATGAATTCTAAATAGGGGGACTCAAAATAAAGTGTTCAGAGATAAATAAAAAAAAACTAAAATAAAACTGTGTTAAATAACTATGATCTCAATTTACAGCAAAGATTATAAGATAATAATCATTCAGCCGTGCAGTGCTACTATGTATATAAATAAAGTCTATGTGTGCTAAGGCTAATCTTTCTTAGATGTCTGGGAATGAGACGCCCTGTGGAGACATGCTGAGACATGAATGTCACACACAGATCAGGACACTTGCCTGAAGTCTTCCACAGTCTGGGCCTGAGTGTCAGCTGTGCCTGCTACAGAGAGGGCCCTCTGTGCATGAGGGTTCAGGTGAGGAGGCACAGGCCTACTAGCAGGGGGGTGGGGGACTGAGGCAGCTCTAACTGGCTGGTGTCCTGGACCTTTAGGACGAGCCTTAACGCTGGGCCCGGTGCGGTCTCCGAAGGGTTTGACTGCTGCAGGGCCGGAGGGTTTGGGACGACTTGCTGCGGTGCCATCAGGAATGCTCTCATCCTGGTTAGCCTCTGAAATGGGTTCAGCTTTGGGCTCAGCTTTAGGTTCGGAGATGTCTACAGAACCCTCTACCCTGGCGCTTCTCTGGGGCCGTCGAGGCCGGACAGGACCTGGAGGCTGGCTGGTAGTGGGATCTGCGGCTGGAGCCGCTGAATTTGATGCTGGAGCTGGAGTTGTTGTTAAAGCTTCTGCTGCTCCATTTGGGTTGTCTTCTCGTGTCTGACTTTGGCTCTGATTATCTTGGTCCATTTCTTAATATTTCTGTGACAAAGAAAACAATTGTTGGAATGTTTCCACTTGAGAGATGCACATTTTGTTTTTTCATTTCGGAATTTAACTCATACTCATCCAAAACCTCTTATACAACTAACCCTGAAGATAACATTTTTGTGTAGCATCAGAGTTATATGGAGGGATTCATATAAGGAGCAGGACCAAAGTGCAGTTTCAGTGGCCATACAATAATGATGTAATGTGATAAATAAATAAAATAAAAAAAATTAAGAATAATTAATTATTTAAAAAATTAATAAATTAGGAAAGGATCTAAGAAGAAAAAGAGAGGATATCTACCACTGAATCACTGGACAGCAAAACATGCAGCCAACAAGTCAATTCAGCTGATGAGTGTAGGACTGTCATGAGACCCTATTGACCGAGCAGGAAAGCTGACTGAGTCATTCAGGCTCCCACCATCATGACTGTTCAATTACCTGCCTTCTCACGGCCTTGAAAACAGATGAATGCAGCTGCACGTACTGATGGCAGAAGACATTTGAAAGAATACACTATATAAAAACATCTGCTGTAGAGCAGGAATATTCTTCTACTGTCTTAACCTCCTACAGATTTTACAGGAGATGGGAGATTTGGAGAAAAAACAAAGACCTGGACACAGTTTATCATCTCCTCTACTTCTGCCTAAGCCGCCTGCTAGTCCTCCAGTAACCAGGGAGATGCTCAGTCAGTTCATATCAGCTCAGAGCACCTGCCACACTATGACATGACAAACCGCTGCACAGTCCAGAACAACAAAAGTCAATAGCGCAGAATAAACAACAACACAGAGAGTGGAAGCTGCAGAGAGATCCGACAGACAGAGAGCAGCAGAGGAGGAAGTCAGGGGTAAAAGAGGAACATAAGCCAACTGATTCAAGTAACAATCCATTCAATTATTGTGTGAATAAATGTCCAATTTGCTTTTCTCTATTGCTGACTGATAAAACAATAGCAATTAAGCTACTGAATTACTATTCTTCTTTAAATGGAAAATACATCAAGCATTTTACATCAGAGGCAACTGCGTCAATGAATCGATGAAAAATGTATAAATATAAAATTAATAGCTGAGTAATTATGGCGAAATTCAACATGTCTAAAGACAAAACAAGTGTCTCTTATAGAAATTCAAACTGAAAAAAAAAAATGAAAAAACATATTAGGCACACTCGACACCAGAATAAAAACAACCAAGAGTTTCTCAGATGTAAAATCCCCAAAATATAAAAACCCCATAGACGCAAACATGGTTTTGTGCTTAAAATTGCTGATTTGGGCATAAAATCGTGGCAGCCTGACCCATCAGTCCATCAGTAAGAAGACCCCTAACCCTGTGCACAGCCAAAACATGGTAGACATTAACCCATCATATTTACAACACGACTGAAATTCTGCCCTGTACATCATGGACATATTTTTAGTCAGTGGGGAGACAGACTTATCTGGTTGGGGACTGAGAAACAACAGAGCTCTCTCTTTTTTTTTTCACATGACCTTGGAGAGACTGAGGCCATGACTCTCATGCAGAGAGGAGAGCTGCCTCTGTGCTCCACATGTGCCCAGAAACATGGTGGTCTGTCAGTCCACCAATAACCTGGTGCCTGGCTGGAGATAATGCATTCCTGTGGTCCATGTATGGTGTGTGTGTGTGTGTGTGTGTGTGTGTGTGTGTGTGTGTGTGTGTGTGTGTGTGTGTGGAAAGGGGGTGGGGGTGTCAGGGCGATTGGGCACACGTGGGAGTGGGTGTGTGCAAAACGAGCCAAGGGAAGCAAGGAGAGGCGAGCGAGACAGCCCATTCAGTGACAACACCGTGTCTCTTTGCAGAATGTCTCTAAATTGATCCTCTCACACTTCCCTCTGGCACCGTCTATTTTTCCAAGCTTTAATCCCCCTACTCTCTCTCTCTCTCTCTCGCTCTCTCTCTTATCGTCCCATTTCTCTAATCCTCCCTCTCTCCACATCTTCTCCAGACTCTGTTGTTCCATCTTACCCACCTTCACTGCACAGACATTGAATCGCTCAGCCCTCCAGTTTAGTTTTTCCCATCCTACCTTTTTCCTTTCACATCAAGCTGACCTAAAATCTTTTTTCTCCCTTCCTCTCTTTTCCCCCCTGCGCTCTGAGGTGACACTTGTGCTCCTCCAGCGACATGCTCTGTATTGTTTCCTTCAGCCAACCACCTCACAGTCACTATCAATGACGTCAACATGCCACAGTCTCAGCGGCCACCGTCACAACGGTCGGACAGAGATCATAATCAGTAGTAATGTGCTGGGGGGGAACAACAAGGGGGAAAAAAACTGATGATATGTGACGATGGGAACGAGAGCATGTTCAGTCCATGTACGAGATACTGCACAAAAATAGCTGGGAACGAGGAGGTACAGTATGTAGGACTTTGTGACGGTGACATGGACACTAATTAGGGCGGAAGCAGCACATGCAGAGGCTTCTCGGTTTGTTTTTAGGAAAACATTTTTCCATTTTTTTTCTGCCGGCCAGAATCTAAATGCAGCGCAGTTCATCTTTCTAACACAAAAAAATGTTTAAATGTTTATTTATATATAAGGAAGAATCAAATATTAGCCTCTCCGGGACTAGTCATGATAGACTACCACTTCTTATTCCACTCACGTTCACAGAGGAGAGTGGAATGATTTGATAATAACAAATGTGTCACGGTGTTTACATGCTCCCTCCTGAGGGGGTGAGAGCTGAGAGAGCCAGGAAGGATGTAGTGTAACCCAAACAACAGGCAGTAGCCAGCGTTCTTGGCAATCAAATGGTCAGAAGTCATATTTCACATCTTTAGGGGATAACATGGAGGTCATGAAGGAGGGATAACAACGAAGTCATTTATATGGTCACACTGAATTATCCTTTATCTTAAATCCTAAGCTCTGTATGGTTGCACTCTGTTCACCTCTTCAGTGTTTAATATTGAAATTTCAGCCAAGCAGTGTGTTGGTGTTCGGGCCCTCTGGGGCCATATGCCCCTGTGACAGGGATACTAATGATGACCCGGACAGAAATGACACCGGCAGCTGCTGCCAAAGCTGTAAATGGCTCCTCCAGGTCCTAGTGCCTCTGAGTACCCCTCCCCTGTGTCCAGAGGGCCTCATCTTTCCGATCAGGTCAAAGCCAAGGCTGCAGGATGTTAAAATGATTTTGCTCTGACACTGAAGACATGTGCTGACAACCTACAGTATAATGTCTGTACTGCAAAATTATGTTGTAAGTTACAATTTCAGATTCTGTCAATTAACAATGATAGAAATCAGCCAAATAGAAACATTCACTCATTCTGCTTAAATGGCTCTCTGCAGAGGAAAACAGTGACCATCAGATGCAAGAGCAGCATCTGCCAAATAATTGGCATGCATACATTGCACAATGTCATGTAATTAGGATAAACATTTTCATTCAGTTCAAGATAACCTGTCTGTAAAGAAACCTGACCATGGAATCAAATTCAAATACTCATTAGGGATGATAAAAATAAACTCTCTGTGCTTGGACTGGCCAGTGAAATAGGTCCGACGCATGTGTACAAGACAGAAAATCAGCCTGACAGTCACTGACTGACAAGTCAGTTAATCACTCACATGTTCCTTCCTGCCCAGTTACTGGTTCTGAAGTGAGACTTAAGAAATACGTGCCATATTTCACAGACTTGCCACAAGCTGCAACAGCAGTAACAAAACCTGTTAGGGGAGTCATAATCAGTGAGTTTGGACTAAAAGTTAAATGCATCATTTTTGAATCCAATGTAAATGCTACCCAATGTTAAAGCCTCTTTCAGTGCATATATTACATTACATTACACTGTTGCATGAGAAAGTAGAAAATGTAGCTGCAATTTGAATACTATCGAGCACTGTAATGTTTGGCACTGTAAGGGTAAAGCATATATGGTTTATGTTTCACTATGTTAATAGATGACAAATTTATAGCATGAGTTCAGCTCTTAATATTCAAATATGCAAATGTGCCTGACAACCAAGACAAGGCTTTTTGATATCTGATATGGTTTGTAGAGACTAGAATACAAGTTCTACATTATACACTGTCAGGGCAGCGGACACCAGTATTTGGTCCATGGTAGATGCACATACATACGTACTGTGACAGAAATGACTGATGCCTGGGCTGAAAGAGGAAAGCAGCAGATACAGTATATGGCCTAATTACACTCCAGCTTCGAGGACAATATTTCTGGCTGCAAAGGAGGATGAAGGTCATTTTAATTCAGTGTTTTGCCATCAGATATTATCTCAGACATATGGGTGCCAGGGTGTACATGCTTGTGTGTGTGTGTGTGTGTGTGTGTGTGTGTGTGTGTGTGTGTGTGTGTGTGTGTGTGTCAAAGATGAGGGAGGAAAATATCAGTCTGTGTGTACACATTTCTAATATGTAACTATAAGATTATGATTCACCAGCATGATTTCTAAAATTGAAAAAGAGGTTTATTCTTAATTAACACATAGCTATGACCACTGCATCAATATCCATTCTCATGTAGACACATCCAACGACAGGAGGATCAGCTTTCAGGGATGTCTTTACAGCTGCTGTCAGGATGAAACAAAAGTAAACAACAATATTTCCTGTCTTGCATAATTGGATGTGTTTAAGCTGTCACTTCCTCTGGTGATTAATAGAACAGAACTGATCTACATTAAATGCTTCTGATAGGTTTCAATCTTGAACATAACGCATGCGTGTAGCTGATTAATTGTCACCTTTACCTGTTGTGGTTCGTGTGTGCTGAGGATTTCAACAGCTGATCGATCTTGAGTGAACCGTTTCTGCAGAGGTAGAGGTCGGTCAGTCCGGAGCTTCGGTGGAAGATACAAGAATCGCGTAAAACGTTAACTGAAAACACGCTGAACTTTCCTTCCCAGTCGCCTCCCAGATGAAACCATCGGCATCCCAGCGCCTTCCCCCCTTCCTCCTTTCCTTCCTTCCTTCCTTCTTTCCTTCCTTCCTCAGCGGGGAGATGACAGAGAGGAGGAGCAGGTGGGGTTTAGAGCTACGCTGGCGACAGATTTGCCAGGCAGGCTACATCTCTCAGAGACACAAATGTCTCCTCCTGCCTTTAAAGACACAGGCTGCAGCAGCTTCCACACACGCGCCTGTGTCCTGTACCTCCCCCCCGTCGTGCCCTTCAAATTAAACAAAACGACCGACAGCGCTTCCGTAAACGAGCAGCCACTGCCTGCCAACGGCGCTTGGTCTGATGATTACAGTTGAGTCCGACTCTGAAGCTCATAGAACTGAAGCAGGTAGAAGGGAAATATCTTGGCAATTACGCCCACAAACACGACTTCCATTTGCGAGCTGAAAGGATAATACACTCTGTTACACACTCTTACACGACGCAGATATTCATGGTTACCAGACGATTCGCCTTTATCAGGGTGTGAGCCAAAATACCATTCAACTGTGTAGATATTATGGAGCACGGCTGTTCTATGTAATATAAATCTATGATTAACCACTACTGCCGCCCAGTGGTTGCTACGGCGAAGTGCGTGGCATAATTAGAGAGCAGCAGTCTTACCTTCCAGTTCAACGGAAGCACCTGCATCTTTTAAATAACCCTTTGTAGTGTCACTTTGCCAGATATAAACCACTGAGAATTAGACATTTAATTGGTCCAGGCCCCCAATGGATTGATTAACAAATGGAGATACCCAGTGGCCCCCACTGACCTCGCTGGTCCCTGGACCTCTGTATGAAATGACTGTAAATCTCTTGTTTCATAGACAGACATAGAACACAATTAAAAAACACAAATTGGCCACAACAAGAAGTGAAATAATCAAAAAGAAAAGGCAAAACAACCGCGAATAGACACAAAACAATCAAAAAGAGGATTTTTTTTCATGCATATTGGTTTCTCATTGTATTACTTACAGTATGTTTCTTCTGTCTTATAGCGAATCTATCACTTGTAAAGCACTAACTGCACTAACCTTTTTTATTTGTAGACTGTATGCGGCCCAAAATCACAAATATGCCTCAAAGGACTTTACTGTGCAACACACAGCACCATCCATCCATAGATCCTTGATGCAGCTAATTACACACTCATCCAAAAAAGGAAGGAAAAACAACAGAGGAGGAGGAGCCTTTTTCCACCACAAACAAACATGCAATGGATGTCATATTTTCTCTCCTGAAAGGAGAATATTAAAATTGGGAATTTATAGGCTATATCTAACATGAAAAGTGAATATGCTGAGTCATTAATATAAAACTGTGCAGGGACAGATTCATAAGTGCAGAGCTGGTTCCAGAAACATGAATTTGAAAGATGTTGTGATGGTCAGAGGAATGATATCACCAGATTTGAGTCAGCAGGGCTTCATTTCCTTGCAGAGCTGTTCAAAGTTACATGTCACAGTTTTCAAACTCCCGGTTCACTGCGAATAAATTAAGTTTCCCACAGACTCAAATTGGAAACTTGGACAGGAAATTCTTTAGAATGAGTCCACGACTGTGAAAATGTAATAAAACAACAGCTTCTTTTGTTCCATTCTATCAAAAAAGTTGAATGGCTGATTTTATAACACTAACACCACTCTAAATCTATAGAGACTCAAACACCTCCACACTGAGACAAAGCATGAGATAAGATGTTGCCATGGCAACACCCGAGGGTACCTCATCAGTCTCCATGACCTCTTAAATGCCTGTGGCCTTTATAAAATGAATGACTCAAAAACTGTATCCTAGTGCATGTGTGTGTGTGTGTGTGTGTGTGTGTGTGTGTGTGTGTGTGTGTGTGTGTGTGTGTGTGTGTGTGTAGTAAATGTGGTGAACTAGACTGAAGCTACTGGTGGTGCACAGAAGTAAATTAAATACTAGAGGATGCGATGAATGCTTACTGCACATACCACCTGTATACTGTATCCTTATGATGGATAATAACTTACAGCATGTCTATAGTGATAACAGTGATGCAATAAACATTAAATGTAACAACCTGCAGTTTATTGTTTACGTTATTTCTTTCCAATACTGCATTATAATAAAAAGTGAATGCATATAGTATTACTATGTGGTATATAGAGAGTAAACCATACACAATTGCTTAAGTACAACATCAAAAAAAGCTGTAGTTTTTTTGCCCAGTTATTAGTAAGTACTACACTGTGTAAGTAGTAACTATATGTTTTCCTTTCCTTTCAGGGGGGCCTATTCTAGCATGGATAAGCAATGTTTTATGTCTTTGTCTTCTGCTTCTGTTCTGAATCACACAGACAACAACATAGGTTTTGTGCAGTAGATAGGTCAGTGTTCGTGTGTCATAACCTGCTGTCATGGTACCTTATTCTTTGCTGCTCTCCTCATTACATCCCTTCAGTGTTCCTATATCTGCTGTTCAACTCAACTCAAACCAAATTCAGATCTAATGTTTACTCAACGAGCTTTTGAAATCTTCCAAGATGGATCATGGCATAACATCTGGAAATTTTGCAAAATAACCCCAAACACATACAATGTGCTGATATTAATAGAATATAAATAATCAGAATATAAAGTTGAATATGATCATACAGGCCTAAACTCAGCAATTTGGTCAACAACTGCTTCAGGGTTAGTCACAGACAACATTACATTCATTATACATTTTTTCTGTCACACGCAAATATGTTAAATAGGTCTGCATCTTTATACTACTGTGAAAATCACTTAACGTGGCAAAGATCACATTTCTTGACAGGAGTCTCACCTTGCTCCACCTAAACCTGGGATGACATGACTCACTTTGTAACCCAGCAAACAGGTAACCCTCGTTCCCTAGAGGTTCTCTAAAGGTTCTACAAACCTTCCAGGCTAAAGGTAATTTTTGTGGAACCTTTGGAGAACCTTAAGTGAACGTTCCCTCAAGGTTCTATGAAGGTTCTACAAACAGAAACTCCAAGAAACGTGACGCGAACCACGTATTTCTACCTAAAATGAAAGTTCGCGACGGGATCCAGCGAATATTCTCGCTGTCTTCAGCGAACGTTCGCGGATCCGAAAATTGTTCGCTGGGTATAGAGTGTCCTCTATAAGTGTGTGAGTAAACTCGAAAGGAGTTTACCACATTCTTCGCTACATGTAGGGAATCGTAATACAATGCAATAATGTTTGTATCATATCTTTATTACAGTAGCTGATCGTTGTTTCTAAATATAAAACAGCCCACCTGCCACCTTGCAGGGGCATAAAACAGGAGAATATGTCTGCAGTATGTCGATTTGTTTATGGTTTTAATGAGCAGTCTCTTTCCTTTTAACATTTACGAGGATTAACCATAGATTGTGCATCAAATCTGTATGGGATTTTCTGTATCTTGGTGGGGATCTCGCAGATAACCAATGAGCGCCGTCTCCACGCCTCATTCTCTCATCTGGGAGAAATATTTGACGTGGCAAGAGGTCCGGACGTGACATAGCTGTACATCATCTCCCCTCCTCCTCCCCCCTCTTCCCCGCTTGCTCAGTTACCTACAAGCATCTGCAGGTACTGGTCCCGGAGCAGAGTGATCGAGTCCTGGTCCGCGATCTGATCCGGGGGGGAAATAATGTGGCTGATCCTGTTGGCCAGTTTACTTCACTGCGCTTCGGCCTACGATGTGGATATGAAGAAACTGGAGGGGCTGGCAAAAGCGAGGGTGGAGGTACATTACGGCTTCTTTATGCCACGCTTCATACATGAAAGTGGGCTGAAATAGATTCAGAGTGACAGTTTCTGAATCAGATTAGTTTAAATGTGTGAGTGGATGCGCTTTATTTCTCAGATCTATGTGTCTGGCGCATGCGTGAGTCTTCTATGGGAGTGGATAGAGCTATAGTAAACTCCATCTGTTTATACTACACAACCAAGGACACTAGCTGTGTAGACTGGAATTCGCATTTTATTGTTGTGATAACCATAAAAACTACTGCACATTGGCTTGGTGGTGATTTTAAGATGGAAAAAAGGGCTCAGGGTCTGTTACCGGGGGTCACACAGTCCTACACAAAAGTTTCTGAAACTCTAACCCTCTTTTTGTGAGAAAACATGCAGTCTTTCCCCAGGGTGTCACCCAATCACCAACTTGCCTGTAGCACTGAAGCAAAGCATATTATCTGATGCTATTGTTGTGTAAGTCATACTTGCTACTACATAGGCCTACTTAAGGCTCAGATTTCTGCAAAATTGGGTTAGGCATCTCTCCCAGAGGTCTACTTAATTCTGTGCTGTGTGCAGAGGGTGCAACGTTTCAGTGATGGGAAAATGAGATACACTCGCTGAGGTGTTTTTGAACAAGGAACCTAACCCTAAAACTGCAGCAAAGGAGTTGCTATGAAGGAAAATATGCAGAAAGACACATTTCAGTAGCCACAACATTACAATGAGATTATCTTTTTCTTAATCTAGGTGATGTCTCATTTCCTATTTATGAGAGCTGCTTATAACAATTTCCTCTGTCTTATGTTTTGTCTCTCTTCAGACGTGTGGTGGATGACAGCTGAACAGGCTCAGAGAGGTAAGTTACCCTCCGTTATGTAATCAACAGGAACAGAACGGGCAACACACACTGAGAGCCGGTGTCAGAGGCAGACTGAAGACTAATCCCTGCCTGAAAGTGTTTGCCATTTGAAAAAACATTTTATGTTTTTCACATAATCCCTGAAAGATCACTGTCACTGAAACCAGCCCTGAGTGAAAAACATTAATCTCCACCTCTGTCTGCAGGTCAAAGCCTTTGTGGTCCAGGATATTCCTCTTTAGTATCCTTTTCATTCATGTACATTGCCATTACATGCTCTTAAGTACATCTGTTCATAAACTGCCTGAAAAAATCCAGCATTTGGTCTCGGTGGTCTCGCTCCTTGACAGTCACTACTTCAGCCACAACCTGGTGATGAAGCACATTCCTGGGGCCGACCCTGAGCTTGTCCTCCTGAACCACTATTTTGAAGAGCTGGATGTAAGTCTCATTTGCTACGTATTTATTGTTTGTTTTGAAATATATAAAAACCCCTATATGTTGAATTGCTTGAAGTCTAGTTTTTGCAGAAAAATCAGCCCATGCAGATAAAAACCATTGCAGTCTATTAGACAGCAAGGGGGCTGTGATATACATCATTGTTTAGGACAGTGTCATATCAAACCAGTCAGTTTTCAAATTCTACACATGTGGGTTTTGTGCATCATTTTGAAATTTTTGAAAAACCTTTGCTTTATCATTTTCCAAAAGTGAAATAAAAGAATGATGCAATTTTAAAAAATCCATACATTTGGCCACCTGGGGGCAGAAAACTATCCACATCGCCTCTTTAAAAGGTGGTGGTAAATTAGTTAGCAAACAGCTGCCTATGCATTCATCAAGCAAACATGGAGAAACACAAGCATAAATTTCATAATATTCACTTAACCAGTTTCTGAGGGAAATATCTTGCTCCATGCTGAAGAGAACTGTAGAGTCAGGTGATAAGTCTTTGTGGGTTCATCACAATAAGCGACCTCTTTCACATTACACACGGTTATTTGACCCACTGTTAATATATAAATATGGAATTGTGCAGCTTTAACTTTTCCTTTCATAATTAAATCTTTAATTTTAAACCCATCAGTGTTGATCTCAGTGTTGGTAAAACAGCTCATTGTCACACAACGTACTGACATCTGTCATATTGAATGTACTGTATATTGCAGTTACTCATTAACAGTGAGGGAAAAGTAAATTTACAATGGAATTATCCTTTAACCTTTGTGCTTCCTCCACAGCGGATTGCCTTGTCTGATATGACCCGCTCTGAGATTAATGAGCTGCTGGAGAAACTGGGTTTCTACAAGAAGGCTCAACCTGAGGACGAGGTACCGGAAGAGTTTCGCTTCTCTCCGGCCAAAGACAGCCCGTTTAAAGACGACCCGGCTCACAAACCTTCCACTTCTTCTCTTGCCACAGAGAACACCTCCTCAGAGCCCAACGCAGAAGTCAAGCACACTGACCTATAACCTGTCCAAGTGCAGAAAAGTAGGAATATAACAGTACCACTCTTCCCCATAGCTGCTCCACGACCAGCTGGTTTTTGCAGTTGATGACAGAAATGTTTGTCACTTCAGAATAAGACCAGCAGATCGTGGATCAGTCCTTGGGGAAAGACAAAATCTTAGCATCAGCAAAAGACCTTTTAAAAGGTCCAGTCTGAATTTGCACATGTTCTGGTTTTTTTTTGTTTTTTTTTAGCAGTCATAAAAAACCCAACAGGCCGCTTTGTGATTGCTTTTCTACCCTCCACACAAAGACTGGCAGTGTGTTTGTTATATTTTGTCTTTTGGTTCATCATGTGTCAGCTGTCTTCAGCACCTTCGCCTCTCTTGAGTTCTCTTGTGTGTCTTATTACTTCCTACCTACTGTGAAACAGAATGAAGCCCCAGGCTGAAAATCGTGCGACTGGCCTGAGGTTGATGCTACGTGCTCTGGTGGGCTGGACTGATACACACAGGAGGATTCAAGTGGAAGTGCAGTAAAAGAAGAAAATAAAATATCTGAGAAAAAAAAAAAATGTCATCTCTAGTTCTTGTTGCGTTGAATATGTTTTCTTGTCCATTTCCTTTTACACTACAAAGTGTAAGATTTCAATAGGTAGAGTATGAATGTGCATGGCACTTGACAGGAATAATTGGGTGTGGTTTTATGAGACGATTCAGAGCAATAATTCCTCACAAAGGCATTTGTTTCTCAAATTGGTTTAATTGTTAATTCACATTTAACTGTGGTGCACAGAAACATGAAATTATAATGTGTTTAAGCTCTTATATACAGCGGTCACTGCTTGGTGGAAGGTATTCGTTTTTCAGTTTCTCAGCAGTGGAATAATTATCAAATAATTTCTCTAAGTCTACTAAAACAGAGCTATAAGAAATAAGTTTCACCAAAATCAGCTCTGTAACCAAATTTTAGACATCTTCTCATAGGAACCTTAATTTTACAAGCAGAATAGAAATCTTCATTCAAAAAAAGTCTCGTTAGCTTCATGTTGTAAAATATACAATCGGCAGTTATGTTCAGTCATGATTACTCATGTTTAAACTGAGAGCTTTCATCAGGTCCATGAACTTGTCCAAAAAGCGACACCAATTTTGTTTCACAAAACATCGTCGTAGCTTGAGCTTAATGACTTACTTTAAACAAAACTTTTAAAAAGTATAATGTACACACTAAGAAAATAAAAAAAAACAAAAAAAAAACAGATATATATAAAAAAAAATCCATCCAAGCATAAATAAGGAGCCCTCTGAAAGAGCTGTGTGTGAGTGTGGTTGGCAGGGTGTGGCAGTGATGCTGTCAGTCAAGCAGTAAGAAACAGGATACAACTCAGCTGTACGACATCAGACTGCAACCAACTCCTCTTGTGTTCTTTCTACCTGGATTGAAAAAAACATGCTTGACTGCAAACACTTTTGCCTTTGGAATAATATGATGATACAGTAATACAATTTCTCAGTAGCACTGTTGAGTTCAGAAAGGTGAGATTACTCAGCGCTGGACTCCAACATAACAACAGCAAAACAATGTTGAATCCATTCGAGGAAAAAACATCTCTGTGCTCATGCATTAAGTAATAATATGCTAATTGATTATATCAACATGAAAATAATAACTTAAAATTAACTTAAAATTGTTCAAGCAACCAGAGTTTGGTAAAAATGAAAAAGTACCAAAATGAAAACCAAATAATGAACTTTATGGGCTGGGTATATTTTTCTTCTTCAGTGGAATTAACAACAGCAATGTGAACAAATTACAATAATTACAAAAGTGTAGCAGAGAAAAATGTAGGTATAAATATTTCAAAAGGGGAAATATTGAAAATATATTATATATTATATATGATATATAATAAATATATATCATATATAATATATAATATGAATTAATACATTTTTTTCTCTTTTTTCTCGTTTTGCAGTACACTAGTGTACTGACACAGCTACTGTATGTTAAATATTACCTGATACAAAGCTGAGTACAAAAAGTATGTAAAATTTTAAAGCTTAAAAGGTAGTCTTATAAAAACTTTGGTGCTCTCTTGCTGGAGAAAGGTGGACTCTGAGTTAACAATGTGTGTCCCGAAGAGAACTGAAATAATGAATACACATCACCACTGCCGACACAGATAAACTGACACACAAACACATACACAATCACACACACAAACACACGTTATCCCCAACTTGTCCATCGGAGATGTGCGAGTCTGTGACCAAGCCTATCAGAGCGGAGGCAGTCATCAGGTGACGATGGAGCTGGGGGAAGGGTCAGGGCTGGTGAAGGTAAGAAGGGGAAGGGGGTGCACATGGAGGTTGAGCGCTCACTGAGCACAGGTCAGAGGTCAGAGGGCCGACCCATGGACATCTCGTATCTGCGCAGGTGGTTGACCAGAGACTGTACGTAGGTGAAGACACATTTGGAGTCGGGTTTGTTACCCATGATCATCATGTCCTCCACTTCCAGCAAAGGCATGCAGTTGGCGTGTGTCCTGAAGAACAGGCATATAAGACAGAGTGTATGAGAAAGAGGAGGATGAAGAGACAGGATGGGAGAGGACCACAGATGAGTAGGGAGGAGGACATTCTCTTCAGATGTCCAAACCATCATGTTTAGGCATTATTACTCATAATGATTCACCCATAAGGTGCTTTTTCATGATAAACCACTGTGTGGAAAAAACCCTTATAAAAAAACTTGATTGATGCATGACTGTATTTCAATAAACTGCTTTAGGAGCAGACTTCACATATGAGTGATGCAGAGAGTGAACACCGGGTGGCATTATCTCCACATACTGTAAACCCTCGGAGACATCCTACACAAACAGAGAGTAGAGTAACAGGAGGCGCACAAGGGTAAATCTCTTGCACGACAAAATAAATGTAAACAACCTCACATCTGATTTGTTATTTAAGGAAACGTAGACAGAGGTCATTCTGTACTTCTCTATTACAGTATCCTAAAAAGCCTTTACGAGCCAAATGAATAAACACCTTTAAAGTCACGCTTGACAAAAAGTCAGTGGACAACACAGCCTTTCTTCCAATTCTCTGCTTTGTTTCTTAACTCCTCTGTTTTAAACATTGTGATACAGCAGTTCCTTTTAAAGTGCTGAGCTGCAGATGGTCCTGGCTCTCTGCCTGGGCCATAGTCTGGCTATGCAGAAATGCACACACACACACACACACACACACATACACACCTACCATGTTTGGTACTTTGGACCTAGGTAGCTTCAGATTAACATGAAGGATCAAATATCGAAATGTAGCCTATAAAGGAGTTTTCTGACCAACCATGTTTGATATACATCCCATCAGCTGGTAAAAACATGCAGTTACACACATTCACACACACACACACACACACACACACACACACACACACACACACACACACACACACACACACACACACACACACACACACACTCTCCACCCCTTTATGTCTGTCAGAACCAAAGTGAAGTTCCTTCATAGGCTTGTCCCCTCTCTCACCATGGGTTCAGTTTTAGGTCGGGCGCGACTCTAGGAGGAGTTTTTGGTTTTAACCAGGCCCTTCGTCACCAGGCCCCTGTAGAACTCCTGCAGATACGTGTACACACACTTCCAATCTGGCTCGCGCATCTTCACCATGTCGTCCACATCCAACAGCTGGGGACAGTCCACTAGTTTCCTGCGGCCACGCCCAGCAGGGGGGGGAGGAAAAAAAAGGGGGAGGACAGGGAAAGGAAGGAAAGAAATACCCAAACAGGAAGGAACAAGAGTGAAGTACAGATAAAAAGAGACAGAAGGAACAGGACAGAGATAATGGACAAAGAGTGGGAAAGAAAGGAAGGAGGAGGAGGAAGGGGGAAAAAAAACAGATAAAGCAGTGAGCAGCCAAATGTAAAAAGGTCCAGAGTGAAAAGACAGAGGGAGAGAGAGAGGACACAAAAAGAAAGAATAACATTACATTCTCTGTGTTCACAAATATATCCATGAGTTGACATGCTTCATGAACATCATGATACGAACAGTTTGTGGCACACACTTATACATGAGTCAAAACAAAATGTCAAATGAGCGTCAGGGGACGCTCATTTAGCCCTTTTGTTTGTTGTTGTTTTTTTCTGTGCACTACGACAAGAGACTTTTGGCCATTTCAATACTACTATGTTCTGTCAGAAACACAAGACACAATGAAAAAAACAACAAGGAGTCTGCAAAATAAAACACACACAAGGATACAACTATATGGTGACTCTACAAAAAAAAGCACACTGGTGCACAGGAGTGAGTGTGTGTGTGTGTGTGTGAATGTGTGTGTTGGGATTCCAGATGACAACAAACTGTTGGGAGGATCAGGAGTGCCAGGGGAAGTGAGTGATGGTGCAACACAAAGGTGGAAAGACAGGGGGCTGTGGTTGGGTGAATATAAATCCTTACTATAAACATCAACATGGACATTATCCTACTGGGAGCATGTGAACACACACACACACACGTGGGTGGGTGGGTGGGGGGGCATCACAAGTGAGAGTGCTGTGATGCGAGAGGGATGAGAAAGAGAAGAGAAGAGAGGAGAGATTAGGAATAAAAAAATAAAAAAAAGAGGGATAAAGTATCGGAGGTGCAGCAGAGAGCTCATCCGTTTTTTTTTAACCTGGTGGTTGTTTGGGGAGGTTTTGCTCATGGGTCTCTGGATTAGAGCAGATGTAGGGTGTCACAGCAGTTACTCATAGCAGAGGACTGATGGAGGTTTAGAGGCGGAGTTATTAGAGTGGTAATGAGGCTCACTCAGCCTTGAGGGGCCTTGATACACCTGGGAGAGACCTGCGAGAGAAAGTTAACACTCGGACATCAGTCGAGCAACTTCCACATGTTCTCTGTTCTCCGTCTCTGTGCTTCAGGCTCAAGTAGACAACACTACTACAAGCAAAATGTGTTGTTTGGGCTGGGAGCAGTCCACAAAACTGGCTTGAATTGTTTGATTTTGATCGTTTTCACTCCACGACAACCTTGGTTTTGAAGATAATATCTATATCTTTATGCCATGGAGGAGAACTACACATGCAGACGCTTCTTCCACTGGTTTCTCCACATATTCGTCACATTTTCTCTGCCTATCTTCACAAAAAACAGAGGTTCACTGAAGTTCACATGGTTTCTCCAACAAGCTCTCACTTGCAGTCAAAACCTATCAACACCCAAACTGATGTGGTTAGTGCAGGTTACTCGGGCAGACATGTCTTTTGTGTGTACTCACTCTGCAGTGGTGAAGGCCACCTCAAAGTTTTGCCTGCGGTTGCTGGGGCTCAGGGAGTTGTAGTCAAAGGCATCAGGGAAGAAATTGTGCACCAGGGCACAAAACGCCATGCCATTGCTCCAACTGGATGAAAAATTCTGAATATCCACATGCTGAGGGAGAAGACAAATAGAAAAGATATGGAGGCAGTGATGGAAACATTCCCAAAGTAGGCAAATATTATCTCAGCCTATTGTGTCTTAATCATCAGGTTCAGCTCGCGCTTTATTGTCCGACTTTAAAGAAGAGCTCTCAACACACAGCGGGTCGCCGTGGCCGATTGTCTAACCTCATATGAGCGGGTCTTGGCACGGCACCAGTCAAGCAGCATCTGCTTGATGGAGTTTGCGTTGGGTACACCAAAGCTGGTGGAGCGCTGCACCTTGTTTACCTTGGCGACCGCCTGATTACCAGGGCTAAAAAGAAAAGTCAGGTTTGTGTTAATATTTACATGCTTTGATCTTCTCCTTTTCTTTCTTTGGTAGCACTGCCTCTCTGTTTATCCTTACCCGCCTCCCTCCTTCTCCAGCTTCTCTATCATGGCTTTGCGGGCCTGCATGGCAGAGGTCTTTGGCAGAGTCTGAGCCCTCATCAGCTCCTTGCGCCTCTCCGCCTGCCTTCGCTCCGACCCTCCATTGCCGCTGCGAGTTGATGTGTCATCCTCGCGATCAAAGACGCTGAGGCAGTGACACGCACAGCGAGTTAATTTGTGAAGGTGTGAGAAGGTTTTACATTCAGTGCAGTTATTTTGCTGATGTTTCATCACCCACCTGCCCACTTTTTTGCTTGTGTTAGAAGAGGAGGAGGAACTGGAAGAGGTGTAGCTGTATGATTTTGACTGGACTGTCCCTCCTGAAATGCAAACACAGTTGTGTCATGATAACCCAATGGATGTATTAATGATAATGATGATAAGACTGCAATGATTATATAACGATAGTGATGTAACAAAGCCGGAAAGCAAAGTAAAGTAATGACTCACTGTCTGTTTTCTGCACATAACTGGCCTCAACGACAGTGCTGCGTGTTGATCTGCTCCCATCATCTGAACACACACACACAAACAACAAAATCATTATGTTTTCGTTCTGTTACAAACTGTTCACTGCTATGATCTTATGTTTCTGTTTTCTCTCCCATGATGAACTTTTCTGAGTCAGGAGGATGTCGGTGAACATTAGAAGTTGACTTCAGTGGTTAAACACAAGTTAAAGAAAAGTTGAAAGAAGGTTGCAGAGAAAGAAAAAAAACAACTAAGTACCAGACTGGGCGAAGCGGTCGGTCTTTGTGACTTGACTGAGGGTGGAGCCATCTCCTGACTTCTCCACTTTCCTCATTACCACTTCTCCTGCTCCCACCCCAGCGCGACCTTTCTGTGAACGCTCCTCTCTCTGCTGCCGGAGCTCCTGCAGGCGGGTCTCCCGCTCCTTTTCTCTCTGGTCTGGAGTGGAGGAGAAAAGAGGTTAGAGGAGAGGATGGATGGAGATGAGGAGAGATGATGTCAGTGGAAAAAGAGGAGGAGGAGGACACGAGGTCCTAAACAAACTGACAGCACCTCATCTGACTGCCACAAAGATGGATTAAAACAGAGCTTCCAAATTTGAGGCGATACATTTCAGGATTCTTTCCACAGTACTGTAAAATTCCTCTGAACACACAAACGCCCACAGGTGGGAGGCTTGCACCCGAGCCAAAGCTGTCAAGCAGTATGTACTGTGCAAACATCACAGATCAAAGAGAGCTAACACCCTGATCGTCCGCTGCGGAAGGCTGCTCCAAGTTCAGCGCGGTCCAGAATACCTTAACACCTGCACCGTTACCTCCAGCTTTTACCTGATGTGTCCATGTATTTAAACAAACCATGCAGTGTTAATCTGTATCAACTCTCTTGCTCTATCTGAGGAGGTTAGGACACTATGAGCAGTCTTGGACCCTTTGTATGCTCGATGCGTCCGAATACACTGAATGTGAACAGATTTTTCTAGAGCAGGTTTAGATCCGGGAATCCAATTAGGTGGTTCAACTGTCAGTGCAGTGGCCCGGTGTAACCATATGGTGAGTGCTCAATGCAAAACAGAATATGCTCAGTGTGGTAGATGTTGCGGCGAGTGCGAAACACTCCACATAAAAAACAAAAAACAAAAAAAAAACAGCATTCATGCACTTAACCAAAACTGTCAACATATCGTTCATCATCCACTGCAGACATCTGAGCGATAAACTGTTTATAAGTTGTAGTGGTCTGACAGTGACAGGATGGTGCACACAAGAAGACAAACGCAGGCAAGTATCAACTGCTAATGCACACTGCACACCAACCTGCCCTACCTATTTCCTCCTGAGTACATCCCAGCATGACCTCTGAGGGCAGAATGGATTGTTTACAGACAGATAAAAAATACTGATAATAAAAAGAAACAAAATGTGAATTAAAACTCATTATAATAACACGGCAGTGTGTCTGCCTGTCATGATGTGAAAGGAAGCAGCAGTCATGAACAACTGAATGGAACAAAAAGTTTGGTCCGAGTAACAGATAGAAGATTGTTTTTCTTTATGCCGTTACCTCTCTTTCTCTTGCGAAGGTCTCTCATGGCTGCACGGATCATCTTCCTCTCCTCAAAGTCTTTTGACTCATCGAGCTGTGTAAAAGGGGTGGGGGTGGGGGGGTGGAGGAGACGGACACACACACGGAAACAATGAGAGGTAATTCCCCACAAAAAGTCAAAGTGGCATGGCTCTATTTATGTATGCAGTTCTAACATTGTGAATACACGTAACACCGAGCTGTGACCCTCACATAGCTGGCGAGATTTAGCGTTAATACACAAACTTTCTGCATGACTGAACCTGTTATATTCGTTGCAAAGTGCTTTTAAATCTAAATCATCCAGAATTATGACTTGTCTGTGAAGTACCATTTTGTCAAGGAGCTCTTCGTCCTCGATGGCAGCCAGCTGTTCCGCAGTCAGTTTTCCGGAGCGCTCGCCGGGTTTAGCTTCAATGCTGGAGCCGTTGGGGATGGCTGGGACTTGACACGCCACCTGGACAGACGGTCCAGCTGAAAACACTGGCTCAGAGGCCATAACGGGCTCTGTCTCCATCTGCACATGAAACAAACACACGCACAACATGAGCAAGGGCCTACATATGCAGACATGCAGAAGGACACAGTACGACATTTATTCATCTTTGGAGGTTGTGCCTATATTCATTATAAAAGGAAAACTGTCACCATGGCTGGATATGCACATTGGCATCTGAGAGCTCCTGCAAGAAGGATCTCCTAACCTGGAGCTCAGGGTTTGAAAGTTCAGTATTTATGAAACCAGGACAAGTGTTTAAAAAAAACCCATAACTGAAGCTTGCTGACACTTAGGACGCAATAGGCACAAGAGGATTTTAGGTTAAACACACTGCAGCCATAATAGGCCTGAGTGTGTCAAGAAGATTGCAGAGTTCACATCTTTCCCTCCCTCTAATAATCTCTTTTTTGTACCAAGACTTCTCACTCGCCATATCTCATCATATCTTCCATCCCCTCAACCTTCCAGCCATGCCAGAGAGAGTGACAGTAAGCAAATGAGAGCAAGAGCAACCCCGCCAAGTTACTGTTCACTTAGTTCATGGAGTGTGACTGACACATGGAGAGTCTAAATGATACCGAGCTGCTTCGAACCATGAGTTCATGTGACAGGTATGGTACACCACCATGGCTGTGAGATGGGAACAGTGCATTAGCAGATATAAACTCTGAGGGAAGACATCCTTCCAAAGCTATCCTTACTGGTCTGGTGGGACTGTTGAGCACAGGAGCAGAAGTAAAGAGGAAGTAGAACAAAACGAGAACATTATAGGTTGTTAATGTTGACCTGGCTATCGAGCAGCATATTCTGAGTGACCATAAATCCTGAAGCTTAAATGTTCATATGGTGCAGAATTCCTGTGGCGGACTATAGCATCTAGCTGTGACTTCCATGCTTTTGTTGTAAACCGAGTCTAGGTCCAGATATAGCTCAGACAGCTGGCCCCGTCCCTGTCCACACTATCTACCCTATCAGTGTTCCTCTCTGCAGACCTCAGCCGGGCCAGGTCTCACCAGGGAGGGAGGGACACTGCCCAGCACAGCCGCAGAGCTGTGTGATCACGGGTGGCCCCTGGTTTTAAGACTTTTCTGGACACAAAGTTCTGACCCATGGGACAAGCTGGACTGAGAGGCACTTGACCGACCAGGAATGTTTTGGGACACAACACAGCCAAACAAGGGCTCTAAGTCAGGCAATGAGGGAATGTGTGTGGGGTGAGAATATCCCAGATAACCTTATGCCCCATTCATGTTGAATTGCGTTCCAGTATATTATTCAGCATCTGAGCCACTATGTCATAAAACTGCTCTTTAGGTTTCCTTGTCTTCTCTAATGCGAGAAGAGCTATAGCCCTTTTAAAAAACACTTTAATCCACAGCTTAGACCTGCAGCACAGTCTGCACCTGCAGAATTATGAGTAGCTGACAGTGAAGGAAGAGTTGACGATGCACAAAGGCAAAGGGACAAAATGATCATATTCAGTCACTCCTCATTATCACAGTCTTATAACAGAGGTCCATCACCTTTACTGGAGCAGCTGATTGGCAGACCCAGCTGTCTCTACAGGATTAGACAGGAATATGAACTCTGGCCAGTCGAACAACTGAAGACAAAAAACTCAATATCTCTCAAAATGCCACGAGTGCACACACGAAACACAAACAGGGTTTGTTTTGGGATTGCGAGAGAGCATAGAGCAAACAAGCCTGGAGATGACAGCATGTGCATGGATTTCTATAACACAAATGTAAGACCTTAAATCCCCTTCTTCCTCTGAAGTCGGACAATTAAAACCGTTTAATTTATGGCTCCCTTTCAAAAACATCTAATGTTCAAGTTCATGTTCCTGCCAAAGTGAACGTTATGGATGGCAAACTGTAGGCCCGGGCCACTGTTACTGTTAAAACGTGATGACTATTTCCTCCACCAGGAAGTTTATCCACTCAACAGCATGCACGCACACGCGCACACGCGCGCGCACACACACACACACACACACACACACACACACACAGGTGCTAGCCAAGACACAATTGGAAACACATGGTGTTACAGGACTGGAAAACCTCCTCCACATAAATACAACCTGTCCAAACTGACTGACAGCTGAGATGGTCAAGCTTTTTCAAAATGAAGTCATTACATAATGTGAGATTAAAAACAGTGGACAGCCATGACGGATGGAACAGAGGTCAAGAAGTTTGTGAGCAGAACACAGAGTGTCACTGGCATGGCATGTAAAACTCATAGCCAGTTGATTCACGGGTATTGTCAACACTGGAACAAAAGACATTCCTGTTCTTTAAGCACCTTATCTGAATTAAAGGAGACCATGATCAGAACCATTAACAGAGTGCAGTACCTCACTGTCGTTAAAAGAAATGTTTGCCATCAGAGCGGGAGCAGAGAGGGAACGGCAGGTTGCAAAGGTAGGCGGGTGAGGGACGGGTGAGGGCTCTGAATTCTGAGGAGTGCTTGTCCCTGTGGTGTCTGAGTCCTGGGGGCATGATATAGATTCCTGGGGTGCACTGGATGCAGAATCTTCAGGAGTGCAGGAGGAATTGTCATGTAGTGCTTCAAGTGCGGTGTCCTGGGGAGTGCAAGCTGGAGGATCACTGCATGAAATTGGAGAATCACTGGATGGAGTTTTGGCTTCACAAGGAACCGAAGGTGAGATTTCCTTGCTAGGAAATACATGGAGGAATGGATCAGGTAGCCCCATTACCTGGCACAGGGCCTCCACTTGCCTCACCAGCCTTTCTTGCTGAACCCTCAGCCTCAGGTTCTCCTCCTGCAACATGACAATGGCCTCAGCCAGAGGAACCACCTGAACCGCAGCCTCCTCCAGGCGGGCATCCACTCGCTTCCCAAAAGCCTGCAGGTCACTATGGATCTCTCCAACGGCACACCGCAGTGTTAATTCAAATTTCCTCTCGCTGCTCTCCTGCTCCCCTTCGTTCTCAGCTTCCTCCTGAGCAAGCAGATCACCGATCACCTCCTCCAGGCCGGACTCGGCACAAGCACTGTCTGGGCTGCCCAAATCCTCTGGAGCCTGCGAGGCTGGGAGGAAGTCCAGGTTCACTCCAGGCATGGCCAGACCAGCTGCACTCAATGTTACACTGGTCAAAATCCTTCAAGTTTAAATACGACTTAATGTCCCAAAAACTTCAGTTGGGGTGTCAGATCAGAGAATGCTGTGTCCTTTGCCTCAGAGGTGAGGGTCTCCCTGTCCGTCTGTCTGAGACCTTTCAAAACAATGCATGGTCTTTATACCCCCAGCAAATCTCCCCTCTTTACCAGCTAACACCCTGACAGCCAATGAACATGCAAGAAATCCTGTTTCCCAGGCAACAGTAGCCCCGCCCCCTTATTTCCAGGTGCCATGGACATGTCTATTTATCTCCTGCCCCACCATTATTCCACTGAGACAGTCAGTCCAGGGGCACTGGTGGAGGCCAGAGGGGGAATGGTAGCGGCAACAATTTAGAAACACCCCCCCCCCCTCTTTCAACTTTCATTTTATTTAGAGCCCTTGTCCTTCACACCTCGACTGGCAGGCAAAGAGGGGTTTAGATGTGGCTCTAGGCCTGGGCTGAGTTGAAAGAGTCGCACATTAGTGTTTCACTCCTCTTAAAATTGCTTTCCGACAAAATGCAACCGAGTCCCAACTAATCAGGTCGGTGGTTTTTGCACGACTGTGATTTCAAGACAGACCTCCAGAGGGAAGATCGGTCCATGAAGGTCAAAGTATTCAGGGCCATGACAGAGCAGACTGGGTGACCAGTGAGGAGGAATTGGGGCCCAGTTCTCCACAGCTGTGGGCAAGGATGTTACCAACGACATTACAGTCATATCCACGATTTTGTTTTAGCCTTACAGACAAAGCATCAGGGGGGTCTAGCTCCTGCTCATGTGGATGCTTCAAGTGCTTTTGTGTTAAATTAAGAGCACTGACAGAAGTCTGTGTGTGTAGGTTGTTCTTATTGTAACATACTCAAGTAGATATTTTAAATGCCTAGTGAAGATTTATCTGCATACTGCAGTCCATTCAGAAGAAGTGGTACTGTAGATACTGTTTCTGTGAATGCAGTCCGATTAGCAGCATCACATGACAGCATCACACAAATGTGATAAACCTGTAATTCTTGATGGCATGCCATTAAATCACAAGCATTAAACTGAATAAAAGAAAGTGAAGCAACACAGAAGAATTCACTGTAAATATCTGCACCTTAAAAACGGAGCGCTGTGACTGTATAACCGTTATTTTTATTTATCTAAAACACATACGCACAGAGCACAAATCATTTAAGTCCAAAATAAACAGGACCGGCCTTCAATGGAGAACAATGTGACAAAGGGCAAGAGTGATCTCTCCTGGGATTTACAGGTAAGCAAAACAGTTCCCAGTAAGAATCTGAGTGGAGAGAAACGTGACAAGCAGCAGAGAAAGTGGGTCAAAACCCAAGAAGGACATGGCTTCAGTCTTACCATGCATCAAAGCACTAAAGCACTTCACCCACAGTAAAACACAGTGATGTAGAAAGAATGAGCATGACAAATAAAGACTAGTAGTGCAAACACACCATTTTCTGCTTGCATATAGGTCTCCATTTCTGGTTATTGTGGCACATCTGAAGTAGTTATGTGAATAAGATGAGATTCTATCTCTTCTTTCTCTTATATGTGACAGTGTCTGCGGCTATTTTGAACCCTCTGCTGTTATATCCAGAGCTACTAAAAATAACTTGTGCAACTTCCAACAGAGCTCAAAACTAAAGCAACGCAGATATTTCGTTCTACAGAGGAAACAAAGATGGAAAAACATCTCTTATGGAAATCTAAATCCAAGCTGGCTATAAAACATCAGGAATAAAAACACTGCGGTTTTGATTCAGAGTAAGTTCATCCGGACTTTCAGACAATCTCAGAGCTTTTCTCCCCAGTTTGCACCCTGGTCTGCAGACCAGGCTCAAATCTGCGACACATGTGAACTGCTTGGGTAACCAGCATGTGTCATGGATCAGCAGTTCGTTAACAATGGGGTCCTTATACCTCTGTGTCACAGTGAGACTGTCTGTCACTGACCGTGGGACCTGTGTGTCCACGTTCATGCAGCAGCACTTCTCCAAGTGTGACCCGAGCCCTGGCAGTAATCCCTGTGACTACAGGAAAGAGACTGACTGTCCTGTCATCACCCTGGTTATAAAGCTACGGTATTGTTTGTATTTGTGTTCAAGGCTGAGCGCAGCGGTCGGCATGGACCAACAGCTGAGATGAGCAGGAGCAGCTGTGATCACCCGGAGCAGGAGGCATCAATAATCACACTGCCTGTCTCACCTGTCAGAAATGAACTCTCATCACTGCTCTGAAACACTACGCATCTTGACCTTGCCATTAACTTCATCTTAGTCTCGCTTTTATAATAAATAACAAGGAGCAGCTCTCTCTCTCTTTTACTCACATCTCTTAACTTACTCGTTCACTTTGCCCTTCTTTGTTTTGGAAACTTTCCATTGTTTATTTCATCTAGAACGTTTCTCTCTGTTGAATCTCAGATTGTAATTTAGAGACAATCCACTGTAAGAGCTGATGCTATCAGAATCAACATGTTTTATTGGAATTTAAAAAAAAAACAAGACAACAAAGCAAAGAGCGGAGGTTGTGAATTCTGAAGTTAGACCACCATGGAGAAGTCTGGACCACCCAAACAGATCAGAGTCCCAGACAGGAACCACTGTGGCCAATAAACAACCATCAACAACACTCAATAGGAAGAGCTACAGCTACAGTTACACCACATATTGCACATGCTTCATGCTAAAATGAACATAGAGACCGATGTGAAAAGGGTTTTTACATAAGTTACTTTAATATGAATCACCTTTAATATAAGTCACCTCCTCTCACTCGACCTTGAACTTCGACTAAACCAGGGAAAGTCAGAGAACAGGTGGTCTCAGGATCAGTCTGAAAGTAACCAAGCTGCCTCCCCCCACGCTGATGCTAACCAACAGTGTCTGCTGCTGTTTTTACAATCTCATTAACCAGGTCACCCGGGCTCTGTCTTTGTAAGGTAAAACATAGGCCAGTCTGTCAGAAGCAGGTGAAATACAGAGACAAAGAGATGTCATGAAGATTACCTCTTGTTGTAGCCTTGTGGTTTATCAATGAAAGCACTCATGTTAAGCCTATACGATGACGATGCAGTTGCTTGGAGAGCAGTGTGTGCTACAGAGTCTCATCCCTGACAGTTATGAATAAAAACATAGTAAGCAGAAATCTAATAATGTAAAGTACAAGTAATGATTGGTGAGTGACACACCAAGCAGACTGTAATCCAGAGTGTGCTGCTGGGTTGCTGCTGCTGTGCGTCCTGAGCCGATTTTGTGACGGAAGATTCTTCAAATGCATGTGTTTACTTACCATAATTCAAAATACATCATCTTTAGTAATATCATACATACGGTAGCACTCACACAAAGATGTTACCTGCATGTCGTTATGCTGTGGCTGCACCTGGCTCAGTCAAACATAAACCTCATCTCCTGCAAAAATCTTTGTCCTTTTCCTGCAAAATCCCTTTCCCCGTCTTTCCTAGAAAGACTCTTCTGCAGTACCTTAGTTCGTACATGGAACTAACTGATGGAGACAGTCTCATTCCAACACCTTAAATCCTCCCTGCAGCCTCGCGGAGCCTCCTCCCAGCCCTAATTAACCCGCTCCGTGATCCAATAACCAGATTACAGCTGCACTTGACACAGGGGGTGGGAAAACGCAGCCATTAAAGAGTAAACAGGACACCACTTCTCCTCTCCTCACCCTCCTCTCGATTCATAATGACACTGCCTTTCATGGAGGAGCAAGTGGGTTAAGGAATGAGGCAAATGAGAGTTTACCATAATAACTCTCAGAGGTCACTGTCAGACAAGAGGGGGATGGTTTTTGACAGCAGTCACTTTCCACCATCAGTAAAAGACTTTCAGCCAATCAGAGTGCACAAAGAGTTACATCTTTGACTTTTAGCCCTCACCCTCAAGAAAAGATAAAGCGATGAAGAACTTATGTCAACATGCGTTTTAATGCAGCAGGGCAGTAACTGGCGAGGATGAGGACAGACAGGTGTGATTTAAGAAACATTTCCCGGATAAATCTCAGTGGGCATGGCCTGCCGAGAGAAAACCCTGAGCACCTCCCTCCCTCTCCCTCTCTCCTTCACATACCTTACAAGGACAGATGTGACTGGCTACCCACTCTGTGTTTGATAAACACTGTTCTTCTCTCCGCTCCCTCCTTTTCTCACACTCTGTCTGCCTTTCATTGTCCTGACTCGCTCACTTCTCAGGCCTTTATTGGTGATTGCTGTGACAGGGACGCAGCAAAAACACCAGCGGAGTCCAACTGAATCAAGTTGGAAATTAAACAGCGGATGAAAACAAAATATTCATCTTTCATTGGAACGGACTGAAAACAGATTTTTTTTCAGTATGTTTGACAAATTCTGTCAAGTTTCTGTGGAATAATGAATGTTGTGATCTTTTCCTAAAAAATATTTCCTAAAGCAGACTGTACCTTTATGGAGGATCCAGAGGAGAAGCTGGATGAGGAGATTTTGAATGGCGTTGCTCTTAGGCCGAGGGTCAACTCTGAAACAGACACAGGAAAGACAAAGATTTAATGGAATCATAAAATATTTCTTATGAGAGATATAATCCACAGCTATAGGATGAATAAGAACAAACTCCAAAGTTCAAGAAAGGTCCTGGCACCCATATGCATGTGTACAGTTGAGACGTGTGCATGGCTTTGCACTGTGTTGGTGGTAGCCATTAGTCAGTTACATAAGCTGCCATAGTGTCATAAACAATACGGACACACGTCTAATGAGAGAAAAGTGAGAAAACGTAGATGACTCCTTCAACATAAACAGCCCTCTTCAGTCGCCTCCAACAGTACGGTAGTTTCCTTTTGACCTGTTGCCTGGACCTTACACACGCGCGCACGCACGCAGGCACGCACGCACGCAGGCACGCACGCACGCACGCACGCACGCGCACACACACACACACACACACACACACACACACACACACACACACACACAAACAAGCTATATCATAAAATACAGGGCTGATGCACACCAGCACAGCACAGTGTACATTTAAGAGTCTTGGCAGGTGCTTTTGAGAGAAACTGGAGACACAAATGCAGCCTGCTCTCAGTCAGTAGGAGACAGATAGGTTCCCAAAAAAGGAGCCCAAAACCATTAAAGCAAATTGAGCTGAAAAGAAACCGTGTGACTCTAGTGAAGGAGCCCAGTGGGGCTGCCAGAATATGTCCTGGGGGCTGGGTGTGTGTGTGTGTGTGTGTGTGTGTGTGTGTGTGTGTGTGTGTGTGTGTGTGGGGGGGGGGGGGGTGTAAGAGGTGAGGAGGCTGTAATCACACAGGTCCAGCTTGAGTCTTAAATAAACTGTTTGGGTTGGAGATCCCGGTTGCTGGGAAGAGCTGAAACTTAAGACGTCTTGTATGGACAGACCATGACAGCAGCTGTAGCACTGTAGTAGCCTTGCTTCTGAAATGCACTGGGATTCAAGCTGGTCATGTTTTCATTTCATGCATTTAATTAATCCCTGCTGGTACTGTTTGCACTGAGAGTATATACTGTACCGAGTATGTACATTACAGGAACATTGTAACATTGACTGTCCCACTGCTCAACATGCCGAGTAAGATAAACTCATACCATCTATGGATGAGCACCTGCTGCAGTTCTCCAACACCTTCTAAACACTACATATTTTAGTACGTTTTCCTTTTTTGGTTGTGACGTAACACGTGTATCCACCAAAAATCATTGACTGTTAGATCAGTACAGATGATATTGCCGTGCACTATTTTTCAAACTATGCTGCACAGTGATATATATATATATATATATATACACACACATATATATATATATATATATATATATATTCTACTCACTTCTTGAAAAGCAGGGACAATTGTAATAATTTTATAATTTTAAAAAACTGTACTTTCTTCCCATTAAATTATTTTCACAGGGTGCCCTGATGCCCCTGGGGTTAAGGCCTTCACCACGAACTACAACATCCCTGATTCATGTACTGTAAGTACCTTCGTTACATCTCTCTTCCCTCATTCCTTCTCCCCTCTCTACTCTCGACTCACTGCTAACAGCATAAAATGACCAAAAATTAATTAAAAAAGTTATTTTCACCTCATTGTGTCATGTAAATAACAGGTCAGTGCAAAGCCAGTAGATGTACTACATATCACTTAATTCTACACTGTCATGTACCAACACTGAACATTACGTTCCTGAGTGTTTGCATCAGGGAGCATCAGGGAAAGTATGCAAAAAAGTACACATAGAAGCTTTTCTTCTGGCATCCATGTTTACCTGACAGAAAACAGACAAAGGTCTCTTGCTGCATTCAAACCATGGATGTCAGTGATGTAACACTGTCTTTAAAATGTTTGTCTTTATTTTAAGAGCATTCTTAGGAATAAATTAAGCAAGTTCTTGTTCGTTTAAAAGAAGCAGCATGTATCACACAAAAATCTACTGTGTGGCTTATTCAATTGCACTGTTATATAGTAACAGTATTACTATTCAACTTGGCCTGAGACAACCAGTTGTTGTCTCCTTTGTCCCAATATACTCTCTACTGTTGACTACTGACCTCACCCTCCTCCACACTGCAGCAGCAAGCTCACTTTATAACAAATGCCCTTCAGATCAACCATGCTGTTTTGTATTCAGCCCCAACATCTATCCCCACTCATCCATGTGCTTTGCTTGGTCTGACAAACCCCTTGTCATCATCCCACTTCTGACCGACTCCTTGGCCCCGGTCGCCTCCCACAGCGACTGGGATTCCATCATGCTCTACGGGTTGATATTAGCAAGGACAGACATACAGTGGCTAAATTAGGATCATCCAAACCTCCTGAAACACAGTGAATGATAGCTTTTCATACTGTACCAGCTCCATAGGAGGCTTAAAATTGTCAATGCAATTAAATTTAACCTAAAACCCCAGTGCATTAAAATTTAGTTTAGATAGTGTTCAGTTGTGCTTCCAAACCAATAAAACAACAAAGCTGCAAAAAATTGCACAATGTTAAACCAGTTATTTGAGCACTGAGTGAGCTACAGTATAAGCACTTCCTGTTGCTATAAGGTTGATACTCCTACCTGCTCTTTGCCCCAGAGCATTAGGGGTGATGCGTGGGGTGATGGTCGTGATGGGGACGATGTTGCCCCTAGATGAGGATGTAGAGGAGGTCGTGGCTCGCCCATCCTTGATCTCAATGGTGAGGAAAGTCTTCATGTCCGGGTCTGCCTCTCCCTGGGTGACCTGCTGTGCAGCTGCTCTCCCTGGGGTCCTGTCTTCCTTTGAGTTACTGAAGGCGTGCACATCTTTTTCAGCTGGTTGTCTCGTCCTGCCCTTGGAGTTCTGCGATTGGCTAGTTGATGACAGAGGTTTGTTAGCCCCACCTCTTGGCTGAGGTGTGGCCTGACTCTGAGATGCGGCAGAGGTGTGAGATGTGGAGTCTCCAGATGTTGTGAGTGATGCTGCTGTGTGTGTAAACAGCTCAGTAGCTCTGGAGAAATTTGTGTGGCCACTGCTGCCGGGGGTTGTCCCATTCCTCAGAGGAGCTTTCTTCAAAGCTGTGACATTTGGGCTCGGGCTGGGCTCTGTGAACTTGCGCATTCTGTCACGCACAGAGTTGGTGCAGTTGAATTGTTCCGACACAGCATTTTTCTTCTCAGGTGCTGCGAAGACATAATGCAGAAATGGAGTGGAAATCACAGAAAAACACAAGAGCTCAATGCACGAGAGACACAGAGCCTATTTCGCTTCTCCCATCTCCTTATATTATCTCCTCCTCTACCTCAAAAGCCCTCTCTCTAGGTTTTGTTCCTGCCCCTTTATTTTGCTTGACTAAACTTCCCCTGTTTCACTGTCTTTCGGGTGCAATCTTTTAGACATTTCAGGACATGTTTCTTCCACTCATGGATACTTTTTCATCCTCTGATCCTTAATACCGTCAGATACTGTGTATAAAGCTCATGATTTGGCACTGGCCCTGCAATGGAAAAAACACTAGTGATTAGAGGAGAAGATATTCACTGAGGTCATCCTTACAAAGGAAAAAAAAAAAAAAAGATGTGCTGCTCGGGGAGGGGGAGACTACAGTTTATAGTACAGTGGACACAGCAAAGAGCACTGTCTGCTAGAAAGAGAGAAATGGTGTATATTACAACATGCTCTCTTCCCAGCCTTACACAGTCACACTAATGGCTGTGACTGTCTCCATGTACTGGAGTTCTACAGTGTATGAACTATGAACCATCTGGTGTGATACTGTCACATGCGTTACATTTAATCAATGAATCATTTAGTCTGTAAGATGTCAAATAAATAGTGACAAACACCCATTGCAATTTTCCAGAATATTAAAAATTGTTCTACAACATATTCAATTAAAAATGATTTAAAAACAGAGTTCAGCAAAATTCTCCCTTTTGAGAGGCTGGAAGAAGATAAATGTTTGGAAGTTTTCCTTGATCTTAAAATACTATCAAAAATGATGCTGATTAATAAGTTCAGGACTAAATGAGTTGGACCAGTTTCTTACCAGAGTCCTTTGCTTTGTCACGGGTGAAGGGAAGATCCCTGTTAACTGTTATCTACAGAGGGAAAAAACAAAGACACATGGCAGAAAAATTAGTCGAGGAAGTGGAGGAGATTAAGGGTTAACATGCACTGTTTGCCTGGATTGACAACCACAGAGCTGCTGTACTGAACATTCATGAGGAGCAAGAGTCTGGATGGATAGCCGTGGTGACAACTACACAGACCCATACACACACACACACACACACACAGACCTACACAATTCTAAATACAGAATCAACCAGTGGTGTTTTCATTATGTAACATTTGTGTATAGAGTGAAGCAGTGGGCCTCTGTTCTTTTTTTGGCAACGGGGGACATGATGGGCCCCAGAGTGTTTACACTACTGTCAGGAGACTGAGCATCGGTGTACATTGCAGGGAACAATAAAAGAAGCCTTGGGTAAACACATTAAGAGGAGCGACACGATGGCGTCATAGTGACCTGAGCCCCCAAGATTGGAAATGTTGCTGAACAGTGAGCAGTGCAGAAACAGCAGCTCTGTGTGTTTGTGTGTCCTCAGCACTGTGGGATGAAGAGAGACAGAAGCTCTGGCCCGTAACGCTGTGTGTTCCTCTCCGACAGCAGGTGAGGCTGACATGCCGCTGAGGTGAAGCAGAGACACTCAGGTGCATAGTGTGTGTATCCAAGTAACAAAAGTTAAACAGCTCCAAACAGGAGCTCAGCACGGTGTGTTTATGGATGCCGATGTGACCTGGGTGTCACTGAAGAATGGAGTGACGGGATTACTTGTCGGGGGATAATGACATGGAAAGAAACAAAGACGGAGCTTGGCCTGTTGCTGCATGTGACTGTGGCTCTGTAGCTCAACACCCCACTCTAGTGGTGCAGCTGTGATAAATACTTTGTATTGTTCTTGCCATTCACCTGTCCTAAGATACAGATGGGTGACAAGAAAAAGCAACATGAAGTGTCTTAATAAGCCTCTACAGCAGCTACAATCCCCTTTAGCATGGACTCTATATGTCTCTGTAACTCTGTTGGAGGGACAAACACCATTCTACCAAAAGACATTCCCTCGTCAACAGATTTGTCCAGAATCTGAAATCAAAATTAGTCCTCCTTTTCATCGTCAAAAAGTGATTTCAGCGCTGTTTTTAAAAGAAAATTGTAAGTTGCTTTTTATCATTAACACAAAGAAAAAAAGGGGCGTGTCTGTGTTTGACTGACAGCAGCAGGGAACAAGAGACAAGGTAAATAAACTTCTGTTGTAGCTACATCTCATGGGCAGACAGCGTTTTGTTAATGTGTCTTACAAGGCCAAAGTGACATTTGCAGGTTCGTTAAACATGCTGTTTAATGTGCTGCAGTTGAGGGGCTAATTATGTCTCTATCCTGCAAACTGATGGTAGCAGTGCACTTGCTCCAGCAAACGACATTTTCAGTGATCCCTCCTGCCCTGAATGGAAGCTGCATTTTGTCTCTCCTCTTTTATTCAGTGTTTTCCTTTAATTTGTCACCTGCCTGTACGTTCCAGACTCAAAGACAGCACACATTTATTCGACATACATACATTAGATATACATAAGGCCTGTATACTCTACCTTTTGTTTCTGGAAGTCAGTTTTTCCCTTGGTGCTGCCACTGAGCTGAACATCTGTAGGATCACTGCGAGATAAAATGGCTCCATCAGGCTGCTCCTGGTCAACGATGTGATCCTGGTTAGCCTGAGCCTGGAGGCTGGCTGGACCTTGGCTTCTGCTCTCGGTTTCTGAATCTGTGCTGTAAGTTGAACCACTCGTTGCTATCTCCACTTCCTCCCCTGGACCCCTCTCCTCAGAGGACATACTCACGCTCTGGTCAGATGTCACCGAGTCAGTCCGTTTCCTTGACAAAAGACCGACACTATCTGAAGCCCCAGAGCCCAAACGGGGTCTGACGCCAGAGTCGGAGACATCTGAGCCCAGTCTCTGTCTGATATAGGACTGGGAGCTGACGCTTCGCTCTGATGCCCCAGAGCCTAGCCGACCCCGCTGGGAGGAACTCTGGCTCCTGTCTGAGGCACCAGAGTCTAGCCGGGCTCTGTAGGCTGAGCCCAGAGTCTTCTCCGAGGCCACAGAATCAAGATTGGACTTGGAAAGCACCGAGCTCACACTGCGGTCTGAAGCTGAGGAGTCTGACCTTTGACGGTGTGACAGGACCAGGTCAGGCTCTGTGGTCACAGCCTCTCTCTGAGGCTGGATCAGCAGAGGCCCAGAGCCATCGTCCTTCACCAGGTGATCGAGAACCAACACCATGCCTGAGTTGGAGCCTGCAAAAGAAAACACAAAGCAAAGATGATAAATACCTATCTGTGCCTTGTGGCTTTTCTGATTTTATAAAAACTGATTTTTATGTTATGTCTATTCTTCCTCCTACATTAACAGTAATCTAAAGTGAACAGGGTGTTACTGTATGTGAGCAAAGAAAGCGGGAGGTGGTGACGTTAGAGACTGAAATGATGGAAATGAAATACTTCCGCGGCACTGGGGCCCCATTAGAGGCCGGGCTAGAAAATATCACTCGGGATCAGAGAGGAGGCACGTGGAGACGTGAGGGGATGTAGGCATTTCCTTCAGACTGGCCTCAGTTCCTGAGCAAGATTTGTGAGATTGCGTTGGTGGATGTGCGTAAAGGAGAAGGAAGGGTCATGAGTGGAGAATGGGAGCATGTGGTACAACCGTAGGTGGTGAGCAAGTACAAGGAGTCGAGGAGGAAGTGGGGGTGAAATAGAGACCAGGACAAGTACTTCCCCTCCCCTCTGTCCAAGCTCCTTCACTGCTCCTTCTCTCCTCAGGAAACCACACTCCAAACAACACAGCGGTGCCCACATCCTCCCACTGCGACACTCTCTACCTCCAACACCCGTGGTGCTTCTAGTGAACGGAATATCTGAGGTTGTGTATGGACCGCAGATAACGAAAACAGCGAAAACTGAGAGTGTATCCGATTCCTACATCACATGTAGACACCAAGGCATGAAAACACGCCTGCTGACCTGTGTTTGCACCAACTCTGCAACCAAATAGGGTTCACCAAGTATGCATGGCTGTCATTTACAAACCAAATCAAAGGGAGACTCCAGTCTGACCGGCAGCCGCAGCAATCTCCCTCAGCTTTGAACTAGACAGGATTAAGGGTGGAGCTTTCACAGCCTCATTTAAAGCAGCTGATCTTTTTTTTTTACTCCTTATTGTGTAACACCTCAAAAACAAAGATGCTTGATTGTACATAGAGTCAATTTATAAATGGCAGCAAGTTGTTGACTAAACAGACCAGATGATTATGTAATACAGTCTGAACAGAAAACGTTATTATGACACACAATTGGGACAATAAATGGCTACCACACATTCTCACATGTGACACTATGAATGGTCCACTGGACTGCAGTGTTTACATCTAATCATGCACTCAACCCAAACTCAATTAGTGAAGTGAGAGCCAAAACACTGCTCCTTCTACCAACTCTCATGTTATTGTTCATATTTTTGCCATTGAAGAAAACGGTCGTATCTATTGTGTAGCGATTTCTGGGAAAACCCCCACTGCTCCTGGATAATGACAGGCTTGCTTTTTGCTTTAAAATAGCTACAAAAGCTGCACTAGTTGTGCACTAAGCTGCCAGTCAATATATAGCCCACAAACAAAGGACAACCAAGGGTTTTCTTTATACTTCTTTCACACTCGAGCAATGACCCAAAGAAAGCTAATGTTTGTCCTCGCTGTGAACGGGTCAACACAAGTTTGAGCGTTTGTCACAAATCAGATTTTTGCAAAACAGGAAGAGCACGGTTTTCCATAGTAAATTTAATGTTACTATAAATAGCAGAGCCTGAGTGACTTCTAGCCCTATTAACCATGAAGCCCACTCTTCTTATACAAGTTGCTGCAGTATCTTTTCATCATGTTACCATATAAAGAAAATATATGCACTGCGCTGTTAAAAAGACTGGCAGTGCACAGCCATGCTAGCATCTCTGGGAAGCTTCATTTGAGCTGTCCAAAGCCACTGTAATTCATCCCGGGGGAACTTGAGATATTGTTGTTGTTTCTTTCAGTCTTTATCTAATGACATTAATTGAAAGTGGTTGAGCTATTTGTTTTTAGAATTTACACTGGGATTATAAAGGGTCTCATGCACTTGTATGGTTTATCCGTGACTTGAATGGTGCTACAGTCGCAGACCACAGTCTTTTGTGAATGGCAATGACCTGATACATATACAAAACGCTGTTGTGTTCAGTCATACATGTCATTCACAAGGTTTTCGTGTGAAATTGGAATTAGTACTATGCTCAGACTTGAGCTTGAGTTCCTCTCTTTTGGGAACTTGAGGCACACAGCACATTCCACTGAGAGTCTCCGCAAACATTTCATTTCCTAAATCACAGCCTTACCAGTTACAGTTTGCACTAAAATGCAGTACAGCTGAACACATGGTCATTGAGGTAAAGAATGTAAATATAAGCCTTTTTTTGTCTGAGAGGTAGAGGTATGTGTTTGAGCAGCGTTCAAAGACCAAAAACAACAAGCCCCTGATCGTCCAAGGGCAATCTTTTATTTCCTGCTACTTTCACTCAAGAACCACAGGCCCACCTTGGCTATTCTGCCCTGTCCCAGCCACAAACGTCCTAGCCTTTGTTGATTGGTGTCCTCCTTTGCTTTTCTACGGTGGTCTTTTTTTTTCTTTTTTTTTTTCACCCCTACTTCACCCTGGTTTAAATTGTAAGGCAGGGATAAATCAGTAACACTGGGAAGTTTCTCCGCCACGTCAAGCGAACCAGAGTTCTCTTCTGGTATCAGCTTTATTTAGCAGAGGTGTGGCTTTTGGGTTTCCCTCTGTTCCCATAACCCCACCACCATCCTCCAGGTCCATGAGAAGGACACTGGGAGTCAAGTCCAAGGCAAACCAGGCCACACAGAATGAGATTATTGTGGCCGTCGGCCTCAGGCCTGAGCTTCAATATAAGATGAAAAACGCTTTCATCTTCAGCCCGAGATGTCCTTTATGAAGTGAATTATCCAATTAATACTTTTCCCTGAGGTGTTTAAACTGGACAAGCTATAGGTAGGGATACATTTATTACTCGTCAACAATGCTTGTTTGTCACTTTACAAGCTATTCATCGTCGGCTCTGCAAGTGTGGCTGCAAAGTTTCAAGGATTCAAGTGAACGAAGCGCATTCATTCCCTCCTGAAGGCTTGCATTCATACTACTTTATTAATGGTTGGGCTAACAGAGTGGTTAATGAAATTACTTCACACTTAAGACGTCAAAGTCATTAAGCCTATGGCAGCGAGTGACTCCAAACAGTTAATAAAGTTAGATGAAGGAGCTTAAAGAGCCTGAACTAATACGACCTCCTGACCGCCACCTCTGGAGAATGGCTCCTTTGGCTGACTATTTTAACAGGCAATGAAGAGGAAATTGCATAAAGACGGATGTATGCAGTCACAGGTACACACAACAGAGGTGGTCAGTGTTGGCTACAAAGCTTTAGTGCTTACCCTGACATGTGGATGTTGACATGTATATACAAGCTTTTGTATTTCAACGATCCCAAAAGAGTGGCGTGTCCAAACATGATCTAAATATGAGGGCAATTACTGTATGTATACCATGCTTTCAAAATATATTAACGCAGCCAATCGACTGTCCATCAATGTGAAGAGCAGTCCCATACAGTTTGGTGCTGAATGAGGGTTTCTCACCTATTCTCTGCAACTCTCTGCTTTGTTGTGTCTGCTGGCCGTGTAACTCCCGGATCTGAGATCTGACACGCTCTCGTTCACTATGACTCTCCCGCTCTGTCTCCTGTGGGGGGAAAAAAAACAAACAAAAAAAACATGCTTAGTGCACTTCAATACAGCTCCAAAAGCCCCATTCCTCTGATCGAAACCAGAGTGAAAACATCAGCTCTACGATCATCTGTTTGAGGTCAGCCGGTGATCACAACAGTCTTTTGTTCGAGGTCGAGGTCAAATGCCCCAGAACACGATGAGCTACATGCTTGGCCAGCTGAAAAAGTAAAGTTCTGTTTTATTTTCCATTGTATATGTCTGAGAGAGACGCCCTGAGAGCTAACACATAATACAGCTTTACAGCCTGACTTGACTTGTGTAGCTTCTACTCTTTCAAGATTTCCTGCAGACTAACACAGTAGAAACTGCAGCTTTTCTGCAGCACCCCTGGTGCTTTTCTGCACTGATAGAGGAAAGTCTCAGCAGGAGGTAGATCTCAGAGGAGAGGCAGCAGTATTTTGGCATATGGAGAGGAAACGGGAGAGGTGCAGAGGGGAGGACGGAGAGGGAGAGATGAAGATGCCGGTACTACTGTTGGGCCTCTGGTGCCTGACCTTGAGCTACTCCACAGGAGAATCAGCTGCGCAAATAAGGCTCCTCTGAGCACGTGTGCACACACTCTTTAAATCACTCCTCCACATATTCTTAATCCACATAGAGGGCTTGAAAACTTTACTATTAAAGGGCAAAAAGCTCTTGTAGAGCTTCAGATGTCATGCATCATTCTGCAACCGTATCACAGCACATAATCTCCTTAAAGGTGTTTTACAAGAGGCATCTGGGTTAAGAATAGAATCCAAAAGAAGTTTGGGTGGATCTTGAAAAAACATACAGGACATGACCTTAAATACTGAAAATATAATAGACCAGATTTGCAGCCTACCATTACTTCTGAAAACAAACTCTCACAATCTTTCAAGCAAGAAAAAAAAAAAAAAAAGCACACACACCCAACTACACAATCACACGCCAAAATCAGTTTGCCGTGTGTAAACAATGTTACCCTAGACAAGAGGCTGGCATAGCTGTCAACAGCAGTGTGAAAATCTTATAAATCACACCTTTTGTGTTTTAAAGGCTTTTAATCAATGCAGTGTGTGATCAGAGCTGACAGAGAGGGACCGCCAGTTAATGCGGTGAACAAACACAAAGCGTTCGAATTTAAACACAACCGAGAGGCAGAGGTGAGAAAGGAGTCGAGGCTTTCTGCTCTGTTGACTGTGACCTTCCCCACCTTGAGCAGATTACAGGGCAGAGCGGCTCAATCACTGAGGAGAAAATGTAATCAGACACTGTTGCAGGAGACGGCAGCACAAAAAGGAAATCAGGAGTGGCACTGCTCGGGTTGTAAACAAAGACAGATGATTGGATTTACTTTGTAAAATAAGTGAAGTTTTATTGCTAAAGTTGTCCAGGAGAAATCAATCTATGTCTATGAATGAAATAAAAACCTTTCCTCATAAGGAAGATAGAGAATTGAAATACTAAACTGATCATTATAAAGGATGTCACTTTTTACACACACTTATCCCCACACAGAGAAAAAAATGGCAGCACAGATTCTGGGGCATAAAAGAGTCTTTTCGGCTTTTCAAGACCACGGTAAATGTTTCTGGGGCAACAAGTCCGGGGCACTGCAGTGGAAAGCAGAAATTTAGTGGAATGCTCCTTTAATGAGTTATTACAGTGTCTGGTGATGACACAAACAGTCCTCTGCATCAGCACAAAGGACTGAGGGTACTACAGTGTAATAATGGTCACACACAAAGGACGCTCTCCTTCTGAGTGGAGTCACTCAATCAAAGAGTCACGGGAAGATAATTGTGTTTGAGCCATAAACACAATTAGAGAGAACGAGCCTTTCCTCACCCGCCGCTCCTCTCCCTCTCCTGCTACTACCAGAAGTCAGACAGACAGCCATCATTTCACAGCTCCCACTAAACCACAGGGAACATATTTCTCACAGACAGTGAGGCAAAGGGGGGAGAAAAAAAAAAAAGAAAAAAAAAAAGGGAAGATAAAGTGGAACTGGAGACGCAGACGAGAGATTGGGACCTGCTGCCAGCCACCATGCTGTCATTAGCGGCTTTCCTCTGGGCCCAACATTCAGGACCTGACAGAGTGGAACCAACACCGACACCGTCCCACTCCAACGCTCACCCAAACCATTTGTCCCATCTGGCCCTCGGGGGCTTGTTTGTGTCAGACTATAATTGCAAAATCTCAACCTCGTAAACACAAAAACAACTGTCCCCTCTCATGACCACAGCGAGAGGCCCGGGCCATCTGGACTCCTCTGAACCCTCAACAACAACAGCGAGGCAGAGGCCGAGCCAGCGCCGAGGCACACACCTTCTTCACCAACCGGTTCAGACAGCTGAGATCAGCTGCGGATTAACAGACTGGGTTTCAGCGCTACAGTTTTCCATGAAAGTTAAATCCATCACTCCACGGATGAGGTCAGACCATTTGAGGGTCTTCCATGCCTCCACGTAGAAGAGGAGAAGAAGAAGAAACCTGGCGGCTCATTTTCCATTACTGCAGCTCTGAGGAACCACACGCTCGGCTCACCTCCAATAATTGAAATACAGTAGCTGGGATGAAGTAGCAATCATCTCTGTATCACACGCGCTCAAGTCTCGAGTGAGTAAACCCACAGAAGTCAGCGCTGAGCCTCATTCTCATTTTGACTAACTGCAAATCATCCCGTGCCACTCTCAGCTCGCTCACTTACTGGTCTTTTTTTTCCCAAAATGGATCCACTGTACTTTCTTTTTTTTTCTTCTTCCCTTCAGCAGACTTTCTCAAGTCATCTCCAAAGCCCAATTTACCTTCTCCATTGCAGAGGCAAGGCCCAGTCTTAGACAGTTAATCTACTCAGGTCTCTTCTTGCAACAAGTTGATGATGAGATCACAGAACAAACAAAACTCTGTCTGGATCTGCAACACCCTCCCACCCAACAGCCTACCTGTGCTCTCCCAACACACCTAGATGGCACCCAAACCTGTAGCCTCAAAGAGACACCTCACAGGGTTAAATTACTTAATATTTAAAGTTTAAAATACACGCATTAAACATTCAAGGTTTATCTCAATTTTCTTTAAATTCCTTCATTGTATTATTTTTCTCTATCCGACCCATTTTCATCTCATGCATCATTAAGGTGTCATCTATATCCTAAGATATGACCTGTCAGTTAAAATTAACAAAAAGTTAATTAACTACATACATATATATATACATATATATATACACAAACCTGAAAGGTAAACAGAGAAGCAGTCACGTCCCATTCTTCAGTCAGACAGAAACAAACGCAGACAGAGGTGGAAAGACGTTTAAATGGGTCTTTCAGTGGAAGAAAAAAAAAAAAAGAAAAAAAGATGAAGAAAGTCAAAGAGGAGCGTCGGTCTGTGACACACGACAGCAGGAAAATCAGAGTGACATTTACCTTCTCCTCACCAGACTGACTGCCTCTCTCTCTCCCTCTCTGCAGTAACCCTCTTGGAGTCAGGACGTCCACTGTTCTGCTGCTCTACTCCCTCAGCCACATCATACATACTCACACACACACACACACACACACACAAACATATACACCACCAACACCACACACACACACATATAATACCAACAAGCCACTCCCTTGACTTCCCCTCCCTCCCATTCTGTCTCCACAGGGATCTGACCCCCACCACGCACACGCACGCACACACACACTCTTTCCTTACAGGTTAAAGGGTTGCCTGGTTGACACATTAACTCACATACTCCTGCTATTGTTTTGACCTGGTTTTTTCATTTCTGTAACTGCTGTTTTACTTGAGACAAAGAGATATTTAACTATAACAAAACCTCATTTAAATGATTAGATATTTTGCACAGTTTTATCCTACAATAATGAATAAAGGTCCCTTTTCCTACTGGCTTTTTTTTTCTTTTTCTTTTTTTTGCTACATACGTATAATTAAAGTTTTTTTATAAGCTGTTACGGTATGGTTTCACCCAAATGAGCAAAAGGAAACTTTTACTGTAGCTCAGCTATCCTTGCATGTAAACCATGCCCATTAAAAACAGCCATTAACTTCTAATGGGAGCTGGATTCTGGTAAAATTACAGATGAACAGCTACATTAGTCCACTAATTAAACATGCATACGCTCAATATATATTCCCCCTTAAGTTTTTGTCACACAAGTTCTTCAACTGGTGTTTGTTTCAAGCTGCTTCCACATATTGCATGTTGTGTGTATGTATGTGTGTGTGTGTTTGGCTGCTGTGGAAGCCTATCTAGGACCTCCATCTGCCATGGGACAATCGCACTCAGCTCAAAGAGATCCGCTGCTGTGATGTTGAGTGGAAGGAGCCCTGCTGCTGCTGCTGGTTGATGTTGTTTTTGGCCACGTCCCCATTCCAGCACAGACTAGACTGCTGAGGCACAGCTGGTGGGCTGCCTGTCCGTCTGTCCGTCTGTCCCCCCCCGCCTCATCACCACCCAGATCTTCAACCCCCCTCCTCTTCCATCACACCACCTGTGGCTAACAAACCCACCGCCGTACCACTCAGCTGTCTTACAGGAAGTGAGGTAAAAAGGCTTGAATGCTAGAGCATCCTGTGACGCCAACATCCTATCATCGCTTCCTAACTGAGGAGAATACACACACACACACACACACACACACACACACACACAAAGGAATGCACGCAAGCCAAGCGCAGGCTGCAACAGACATGATTCACCAGAGCATGACCTACTGATAATGTGACTGTATATTCCTTCAAATCGCAGATACAGCACTGTAGATGTTCCTTCAGTTTTATCACTCAAAAGCCTTAGTTACAACAATGGTGACCGGATACAGTAAGAATTAACTTTGTTTTTCCTCCATAGAGATCTCGTCTACTGGAAACAGACCAATCATATAAAAGAAAATAAAAAGAAAAGTGATCAAACACAGCAGATAAGATAACATCTGGCAGGCTCTCACAAACAGTTCAGCCTTATGTCTTTACACGCGTTCACTGCAACAACCATATAATTCGATCTGTTACACTTACACTGAAAAAGACTAAAGTTTAGTTTAACTCTGAAAACACAGTCCTCTGTCCTCCACTAGAGGGCCGGTCCGCTGTGAGAGACGTCTGAGAGGAGGCTGGAGTCTGGGGTTTTAGAGAGTGACTAAAGAGATGTGATGTCAGCCAACAAAATGCAATTAAAGTGTTAAATCAATTGTAAAATACTTTCAATCTCTTGTCTCTCTCATATACACTCAGTAAATGCTTAACTTTGGTTCTGTGGATGTGTCAAAATGTAAAGACCTGTGAAGATAGATGTGTCGAAAAAACAATTTACTACCTTCACTAAACACTAGGCTCAAAGTAAGTTTTATCTATCTTGTCATTCTTGGCCAAACCTGAATGAGGATATAAAAAACAAAACACATTCCTTTCTCCATGGCAGCCTAGACATGTGTTTTGTGTCTGTGTGTGTGTCTGTGTGTGTGTCTGTGTGTGTGTGTGTGTGTGTGTGTGTGTGTGGTGCAGCCACATTCATGACACAGTGTGTGTGACTCAAGTCACAATGCTTGTTGTTGTTTGCTGCATACTTCATTGTGGCAGCAGAGAAACCTCAGAGGTCACTGTTGCCATGTAAACAAACTCAGCACCCGCAAATTGGTCTTTGCACAGTTCATTCTTGCAAATGGAAGCTGACAGGAGTGCACAACAGATCATCAGTTGTAATGGTGATGTGCAGACTGTATCAGCTTCACACTGTGATATTTAAAAAGACTGATGACATTTGAACTCAACAGTTAAACAAATAAACAGGAGTTTGTTGTTTTGATTGTTTTTACAAAACTACAGTGACAGAGGAGAGGAGTGTAGGTTTGTAGCCAGGATAACAAGGCCGCCAGCAGACATTCCTGCATGCACTCGCCTTAACGTCGCCACTGTTCTCTCGTCTGCGGTCCCAATCAATCCCATTCACAACTGCACACAGTCTGGTGGCGACGAAAGGTTAGAGAGCTCCTTCTCCTTCCCCCTGGTAATCCTTAAATAGGCATTATCTGTTAGCATGTGCCAGATATACCGTCTCTAGCTCCCATTGCCCTCTTTCCTCCCATTTCCCCTCATCTCTTCTTCTTTCCCCTTGTCCTGTGCATGAGCACGAACACCCCCTGTTGCTGATTGGATGGAATAGTGTTGTGTTACTCAGTCTGAGCCACTTTATTTATTCCCCATTTACAGAGCCAGGGCTGTGTAAGAACACCAGATTTTTTTTTCAGCACACACACACAGAGCAGCCAGCTAGCGGGCTGTGAGGAGATATTCACTGAATTCAACAAAAAGTGAATTGGATTAGAATCGCTTACTCAATCTTTAATCATTGATCCCAACATATATAACGAAAATCACACTATTAACTCTGCTGTACTCACTCCAGTTCCCATGCTGCTCTGGGGATCCACACACTCAGGATCCGGGCGGCGCCCAGGGGCTTTTACCCTCTCCACAGTCGCTAAAAGACACACATACAGCAGCAGCACTTAGACAATAATCAGGATGAAACAGGTGACAAACACAAACACCTCTCTCTTAAATTCTTGTCACATCTGATGCCAGACTTCTAGCATCATCATGGTCATTTGTGAAATGACAAGATGATCTGAGGTGTCGGATATGGCCCTTACAAAGGCTGGTCAGGGTGGAAGTTGATCAAATTTTGTCTGTATACACCACCCGGTCCATGCATCAGTGTTTCAGAGTGACAGGGGCCTCACACAGACCAGACAGCACTAAGGAATGAAAGGAATCCAGTATCTGATCCAGTATCATAGGTAGATCTACCACAGAAACTATGCAAACCACAGAGAGCCTGCTATCTGTCCCACATGAAATATGCATTCACACTCATTAACAATGCGTATTTCTCCCCCAAGTGTCTTAAAAGTTTCCTTTTTAACTGCCAGAGTTTGGTGCCAAAACATATCAAATCCCCAAGTTTAATCAAGATTGGAGCAGTGGTGTCCACAATATGACACTGTATTGAGAATATTGAGCCGAGGATATTGAATATCGAGCTTAACTTTGGCTTATGGCGACCTATTTATGCCCTTTGTAAGGACTGATGAATGTGTCACGGGTTTTCTGTCAACCAGAACCTAATTATGGCCTTTTCAAAATCGGACATTCTGACTTTGTTTTTACAGAACTATCTTCTGGCAAATCAGATTAAGTGCTTAAAGTGCCAGAAAACACATGCGAGTTTTTGCATTTTCCTCTAATCGGTGAACAGATGCATCTATTTAACTTTCATCTTAGCCAGTAAAGTGGTATCATAGTAAAGAGACATACAGACACAGTTTGACTCCATGTTATCAAACACCTGGACTCACCTTGCTGCTGTTCTTCTCGGATTTGTCGGATGGCTGCTCTGATCATTTTCCTCTCCTCATACTCGCTGGCGGCGCGGAGCTTCGAGCAAACACGTAGAAAATTATTATTTCCTTTATTTTACCAGGAAGTCAGATACAACATTACAGCTATTTAAGCTCGACAGCCTCTTAAGAGAAACATGTAGTACGTGTCCACATTCTTTATGATGCCCTTAAAGTTTTCGATGGACATAAGTTTATCTAATCTTGGATCTTTCTGCAGATTATTCCAGTTCACATAGGACAAGCATGCAGTGTCACCATATTTCATGATTTTTGTCCATTGATACTCACCATTTTCGTGAGCTCATCGATATCCTGGATTGATTGCAGTTTTCGTGACAGGACGTCCAAGTTATCGCCGGATTCTGATCTGAGAGAAAAAGAGATGGTGAGGTGGTTATAATGGTGTTCATTATGAGTGAGCATCAACCTGTGCTCATGCAGAAAATGACAAGCTGGAAATCATAGTATCTTAAAATATCAGAATGCAAATCGTCTGCTTCTCTAACCCGAGGCCTCTCCGCACTTGTGAAGGCAGCAGGAGACAATTCAAAGGTTTCTTAGCCAGGAGAAAAAACCATCAGAGGATACACTCCCAAATCGAGCATGGAAAAAGTGATACAGTGGCATCACAGATCTGACAGCAGTGACACACTGCGACTGAAAAAAAAAAAAAAAGCTGCTCTCATCTTCCACTTTTTTTCAGTCTCACATTTCTCCATTTCACTGCCTGCTTTTTATGTTGGTTTCTATTACTCATACGCTCCCGCAGTTCTCTCATTATCCTCGTGTTCCTCCATTCGTTGGTATTAAAGGATGTGTGGCATGCTAGAGTGGAATATTTCACATTCCTCCATGGGATAGGAGAGGCACGGGATAATGCAACTTTCAGATGGGTTTGTGTGTGCATGTGTGTGTGCATGTGTGTGCATGTGTCTTAATATGTGCTCACGTGCATGCATTTGCTACAGCAGGTATGCTTTCTCTAGCAGCTCCACTGAGGTACCTCTTTTGTTATTGTAACCCAAGTCATCTGAGCGCAGCAGTGAATGGAAATGATTAGGTCCGGCCACTGGTCTTAATAGGATTCAGTGACAGAGAAAGAGAATGACAGCGGAAGGTTGGATATCCTCTTCACATCCAGTACTGTTAAATCTTTACTGTGCTCCAGACCAGACGCTGGGATTGTGCCATAGCCTTGAACGACTGCCAGTCTTTAAGTCTTAAATTAACACCTGTTAAAGGACTCGGGTCATCCTGTTCTGTAGAGCTCAGTATCTCATGCCCACAGAGAAGAAACTAAAGACCATCAAAGGTTTAAATTCCCATACCTGCTGAATATGCAATGTCCAGGGAGAGCAAAAGAGTCTTTATGATGTTTTGCAAATTAATTTTAACTGTTAAACAAGCATTTCTTGAATGAGAACTGGCAAGATGCCACTGTCAGCCAATCAGGCTTCTCTAATCTCATAAGCTAAACCTGCTAAGTTTGGGCTTTACAGTTTAAATTTGGCATGATTGGGTAGATTCAGGGAATTCAGGAAAAAAAAGTTCAGTTGTTAACTCTGGTTCATCAGAAACAGCCTGCTTTGATCACATCAAGCTGCATCAATCATCATTAAAGATATCTTAACAACATTTTTAATTGAAGTAACATTATAGTTTGCATTAGGGTGTATATCCCGTTCTAAAAATACCAATAACCACAATGCTTACAGAAACACAATGATGCTAATTTAAAGCCTGTTTGTCCTGTTTCTCATTTCATTCGCCAGCAAAAACATGTTAATTGACAAAATGGCAAAGGAGCCATGAGAGCTGAGTCCTCACTCTGTCTGCATTCCTCTGCTGAATGAAGGTGTTGGGAACTGTGCATTACTGAACTGAAAAAACATTAATAAATGAATTGAGAAAAACGACTTCACCCTCACGACTTCAAGGCTGAAAGATAACATGACACGAGGACAAACTTTGAGAAGTGAGTCTTCTTTCTGATTCTAAAAGTGAGAGTATTTACTGTGAAACGTGCGCACAAGATGGAAAATGGAAAATTTATTGTGGTTGCAGTTTTCTGTCCCCCATGATTCCCTAACTTGACTTTTCCAGGCTTTTCCCACAAGAGTTGAGGAATGCTGCATCTGGGTTTGTGACTGTTTTCTCAACATCTCCAGTTCACCTAGCCCTGTGCAGTTTGTCATTTAGACAGGTGTGTGTGTGTGTGTGTGTGTGTGTGTGTGTGTGTGTGTGTGTGTGTGTGTGTGTGTGTGTGTGTGTGTGTGTGTGTGTGTGTGTGTGTGTGTGTGGTCTCTCACCTGTGCTGGTTCTCCTTGTCCTCCTGCTGCTTGAGGCGTGTGGGTCGAAATCTCTTGCTGGCCAGAGCGGCCTCCATGTCCTCAATCTCCCTCCTCCTCAACTCCCGGATGGCTGAACGGATGAGGCGTCTCTCGTCCAGATCCACGGTTCCATCCAGCTGCATGCACGACACAAAAAGACAAACACAAACAGCGACGTGAAGGTGAGTACAAGTGTTAAAAGTGTGCTAACGCAGCAGGACGCCACACAGAAAGTCAAACATTTGGCTTGCAAAGATTAGTCACTTGTCCCTCTTATGTTTGCATCCGTGAATGAATACACCACAGAGGCAAGGTGAGGAAATGGCGGCAGAGTTACATAAAAATCAGCTTCTAAAGGGTCACAGGCTTGTTCTCAGCGTAAGTACAGGGCAGCCAATGAGCAGAACTGCAGGGCTCTCGGGTCAAAACACAAGTCGTAGCGCTGACTTCTTTTCAGTCGCCATCTCTTCCCCTCTGTAATTAACCCTGGCAAACAAGGACAATAAGGCACTTGTTTACAAGAAGGAGCTGAGTTTCAGCCAGTCTGCCCTCACAAACACACAGCTGTCAGACAGAAAGACACAGTGTCCTGTAAAGTTCAGGAATCCACCTGCAAGGGAACTCCATTTGTGATTTTTAATTATTCCAGCCTAATCAGAGTCACAGCTGACAGTGAGTAGCATTCAGGTGTGTATAACATCCAGACATAGCTGGACCAAACATCCCTGGCTTACGTTTAAATGTGTGGTAGGGAGTTAGAGGGTCAGCAGGGCCAATGGACGGCTTATAGACTGGTGATGACAAGTGATCTGACTTCACTAATGTGAAAAGACAGGACCACCTGAGCAACGTACGGAGGATGAGAAACAGGCAGGCCAACAGCTGGTGCTCGGCTGAAAGAAAGAAGTGTGCTCGGCTCAAGTTATCACCCAGGTGTCTTCTTCTCTGGCTGTATTTCATCACGGCTGAACAGTAGCTGGGCTGCAGGAGGCCGCAGAGACTCAGATATTGAAGTGGCTCACTTAAAACACTCACCAAGTCATTTCATCGCTCTGAGTGACTATTAGTTTAAAGGGTATATTTTTTCAAGCCAAGGAGGAGTAATTAAGGTGTGCGAGCGTGTGTGTACAGCACGCCTGCCGACAGACAGACACTCCACCTCAGCGAGTTGGATGCTTTCATGTTAGCGACTGCCGTGAGCATAGGAGGGTAGAGGGAGCCCTCTCCTGTCAGGTGGGAGACAGATCTCTCTTTTGGTCGACAGCGGGAACCTGTCAACACACGCAGAGATGAGCAGCTCCGCTGGCAGGCTCTTCTTATAAACCTCACACTCAAACACACACTTTAAGGTTCCCTGCTGCACCAGTTAAAACCTGCAGGGTTCAGACACAAACCTTTGTATGCCAACTGCCTTCTACTAAAGGGGAGCTGGATGTGCTTGTTAAGCTAAGCCTTACACCCTGAAGGGTTGAAAAGGGAGTTGATGTGATGGGCCCCCGCTGCTGGGCCCAGAGGAGGGGGTGGGGGGTGGGGGGTGGAAAGAGGGGGGGGCACATCAACTCCCTTCTCAACCCAGTGGTTTTGAGGTCTCACTGTGGTTTGACAAAATATGCAGCCCAAGCTGCACTGGCTCGGAGGGGCGCTCCTATATACTGTAATTTGTGGAAATTTAAAGTGCTGAGCCGACTGAAAAGAATGAGTAAGAGAAAAAAGTGCTCAGAAAAGGCAGGAAGAAAGGATATGAGAGAGGAGGAGAAGTATAATAAGGGAGAGTAAAGCGGTTAACAGAGAGATAGGATGACAAAGTGAAAAAGAGAAAAATGAAAGAGAAGCTAGACTCGTGTATGCCTAAAAATGGGCAGATGCGAACTGGGTGGGAAAGGGCCAGGCTTCACACAGGTCATTCCTCACATTCCTGCTGACTCACAGGGAAAAGAGATGGTAGTGAAATCAGGAACTGGGTTTGGGCCCAACCCAGCAGTGAGATGATACGACAGCCCGGAGCAACAGTGTGAAGCGGGAAAATAATGAGAGGAAAGAGGAAATGAGAACACACTTGCACATTTCTATCACTGGCCAGTGTCTCTTTCTCACACACACACACACACACACACACACACACACACACACACACACACACACACACAGACACACACACACACACACACACACACGTGTGTCATGATGTGATTATACAGCCAGTACGATGCCAAGTTTTAGGACTGACTGATTTATTTATTCATTATGGAGATAGAACAGAGAACAGCCTCGGGCCTGGGCCTCTACTTAAAAACAATAACTTCTGTTTAGCCTGTTCAGCAACAGGCTGCGCTTCTGGCCTGTGTACTGCACATATCAGTTTAAACATACAAACACAAAATCACAAAAGAAAAAAAGGCAATGAACAGCTCCCAAACTCAGAGACGGCAGAACGCTCCAAAGCAGTTACAGTAATCTTTTTAAATACAAGCACACTGGTGGGAAGTGATGATAAGAGATGAAAAACAGTCCCCTACACATGCACATCAGCACTTTGACTTTTACCTACTCTAACAACACAACTTCAGGCAGCAGCAGCAGCTGTTTTTTTTTTTTGTTTGTTTGTTTTTTTTTTTTAAATGGACCAATCAGTGCACAGACGGCTGCCTGTCATGTCAGTTTGGATTGGTTGCAGTATTAAAACACTAAATACAACCGGCCAATCCAGCTGGCACAAGGCCAGTGGCTGTAACCGACTTTTCCTTTACGTATTTAAAAAGGGGAAGAAAAAAAAATAAAATAAATGACCAATAACTTCACAGGAAAGTAATGAGTGGGCGTAACCCGAGCAAATAAACCACACCTTAAAGTTGGGCATCTGCCAGAAAAAACAGAATAACCGTTAAAGAGCCAGAGACGAAAACACTCACTCGTCTGGACACAGTCCATTTGACTAAACTACCACATGACAGTGGCTTTTACAGTGAGGAGTCAGGGGAAGAAAAAAAAAAAAATCAATCTAGTTACTCAGTGACAGCACCTTGCACCACTGACAAATACCAAAGGCATTTTTCAAACCAGCCCACAGACATCTGGGTAACCAACTGTCACTGTGGCTCCAAATAACAACAACACTGTGACCCAGAGAGCAGCCGTTATACCCAGACAGAAAGCTTTTCATGCAGTGTTGCTTTTACTGCTAACAGACATATGACTCAGAAATCACACATAACAAATAGGACACACACACACACACACTTATGTTTTCAGGAAAGATGCAGCCACTGAGACGTCACCGAGCTGTCAGCACCTGTAATGACGGCAGAGGGACAGTCATGTTACAGTCTGGTCTGAAGACTCGCCACCGTCACACCTGTTGGCTTTTCTGCCGAATCACCTGACTCAGCCACTGAGATACAATGTTAGGACACAGGATGGGGGAGGTGGATATGACTGACAGGGTGATGAGAGAAAAGGCAATCCTGCAGAAACAGTTTTCATTTATTAAAATGCACTTAGTCACTGGAATTAACCAGAAAATGATTACCTTATTTGGCAGGAATTATACTGTGGGGAAAAGCTAAATTTTTTTGTAATGTTTCACAAGCTAGCTTGCTATGGCTTGTACTGTACCATCACTGGCTTTGACTCACTTCCTGCCCAGCGGCAGCAGCAAAACCTCAAACCTGTCCAAAGACTTTCGACTGAAGGAGCTCAATCAATCAAGGCCAATTAGAGAGCGCTCATGGTTTACCATTAATCCCGACCAGCTGGTGACACACTCCTGAGGACAGCAACACTCTCTGAACTCATCTGCTGCGCATGAGAGAAACAGATTTAAAATAGGATTCTGATGGAAACAGTCTCAGAAGTGGTCACATGTGGCTGGAAGTCAAGGTTCTTCAGGTAGTCAAAATATACTGAGCTACTCTTTAGTGGGTCTGCCGCCTATGGCTGAGCTAAACACACACGCTCTAACAACTACCTGTGGGTGCAGCGCTGAAACAGGATTATGTTAAACCTGTGGAAGTGAAAAGAGACAGACCACTCAGCTAAAGCGCTGTGCAAATAGAAAGCAAATTTTGTACAAGCTCTGATTTGTCGTAATTACACCCCTCTGTCCTGCTCCTTTCATTAGAGCATTATTCATAGGAACACTTATCGCCACACAGAACAGCTACAGTCTCAGGCTCTTCTGAGCATTTGTAGCTAAAACTTGTATTAATGGATTAATGGAAATGAACCACTTATAATGTCCAAGCTCTGTCTCTCAGTTTAAACATGTCTGTACACTGGGCTGAATGGTAAAACATGTTAGTTTACATACTAGGACCGCTGATATGTGTCTCTCTCCATTATGTTGTGTGCCGTCAGGTCAAATGTTACAGCCCGGTGTGTAGAAGACATCTTACCCTCACCTCTCCCACACACACCCTGGGAGCACAACGACCCTTCAGGCCGAGTCCCGACCTTTTGACTCCCAGTGGGTGTGTGCATGTGCTCGTCTCATTTGCTGTTTTTGCAATTAATGCTTTCTGCTTTGTGGACTATGACGGACTAAGTAAATTCCCTAACACCTAGTAGGAGTAGGGTATGTATACTTTCTGCAAGAAATGTGTGCTGGTGCATGTGCGTCCACGTGCATGGGCATGAGTGAGCGTGGTGGTGGGGGGGGGGTCCTGTGTGTTTGTGCCTGAAATGAGGGCTACAGTAATAATTTCCAGAGCAAGCTGAGGTTAGAGTGCAGCCAGGCAGCAGATTGGATCAGTGCTTTAAACTCACTTGTGTCAAGCCCACGAGTGAGTTTGCCCTTATAAGGACACATGGGACACTCCCTGCAGCGGAGCTGAAGTGGATTACCAGCTGCCACTGAGGAAGCTGGACGAGTACAGACATCGAGACAGACACAAATAAACAAGTGAGAAGCACCGATGGGGTCAGAGAGTTCAAAGATATTTTTCAAATCTCTTCATTGCCTTGCTTTGTGGAAAAACTCCAATCTGAATCAGGTGGAAGCCGATAAATCATTTCTCAACACCTGAGGAAAATGATGCATGCTTACAGTGGGGCGGTGCACACACCACACCCACTGAAAAATGGAAATATAATCAGGATACATGAGAGCCCTGCAAGGTATGGGACCGGATTTTCTAAGAAG